GGTAGATGTATGCATACCTATCATCACATATCACATACAAAAACATTGTCAAGAAATCAATATACAAAGAAACACGCACCTTGCTTTCTTTGTACAGATATTTAATATTTAGACTTGGGGCAACAGCCGTTGTTTTTACAGCACAATTTGCATAATTTATCAATACCTCCTGTGTACAATCACAAAACCATGACATTAGATTTTTCTGTTTACATAGAAGTGGAAAACCCGACAGATTTTACAAGCATTATCTTTGTACAGTCAGCATACATCTTTAAATGATATGATAATTTTTATTCAGAATTTCTTTCCCCTCGTAACGTTTGATCTCTCTATCTCTCTTTCTTTTTAAATAGAATTTCTGGACACAAAAATAGTATGAACGAACCACCAACTAAACATGCAACATCCATTGTTGTGAGCACATTTAAATTCTCCTGCAACTACTTGAGTTGATAAGATAAGGTTTGTCTGTGTTTGTATACTCTGATAAAACTCTGTTGTGTCTGGTGTAAGGGCAAGGTTTATAAGGTCTTTACTCCATCGACCTCCTGTAGGTATTCTACCATGTCAAGAGAGTTACATACTGCTTGTGTTTTCATCCCATGATCACATGCGTTAATGTCAGATATCAAGGAAATATTTCGGTTTCCTCTTGTAGAAAAAAAACAAATGTATTTACAAGGTAGGAAATAAAGAGATGACATTTCCGTGTGTGTGTGTAGATCTTAGGTAGACCACACATATAGGAAAGGGAGGTGCACTTTCAGGAGGACTTGGCCATTCATGGGTGTGGTATGGACACACTACACACGCACGCTTGTATCAAAAAGGATCGATCTCAAGTGGGTAACTATTTTAGATAGAACATCAAGTGATTACATTGTTCAACATTATTTGGACATTTTTCAAATTACATACATACTGGAAAAATAAAACTATTTCAAAGTGGGGGTGCGTAAAAACTCAGTGAAACGCTAGAATCAGGTGGGAATGTGTCTCTGGTGTTAAGAAAGTGACTCCTTAGAGTCTGGTCTATGTGAAGACTCACTAGTGTGTGTGTGTGTGTGTGTGTGTGTCTGCTGAGACATTGGGCTGAAGACTGAGTTTCTGAGCTGAAATACAAGCACTGGATAATTTAGCTGAAAACAAAATACCTTTTCAATTAGCTATACAGTGGCTTGCGAAAGTATTCATCCCCATTGGCACTTTTCCTATTTTGTTGCCTTACAACCTGGAATTCAAATGGATTTTCTGGGGGATTGTATCATTTGATATACACAACATGCCTACCACTTTGAAGATGCAATTTTTTTTTTATTGTGAAACAAACAAGAAATAAGACAAACAAAACAGAAAACTTGAGTGTGCATAACTATTCACCCCCCCCCCCCCCCCCCACAAAGTCAATACTTTGTAGAGTCACCTTTAGCAGCAATTACAGCTGCAAGTCTCTTAGGGTATGTCTCTATAAGCTTGGCACATCTAGCCACTGGGATTATTGCCCATTCTTCAAGGCAAAACTGCTCCAGCTCCTTCAAGTTGGATGGGTTCCGCTGGTGTACAGCAATCTTTAAGTCATACCACAGATTCTCAATTGGATTGAGGTCTGGGCTTTGACTAGGCTATTTCAAGACATTTAAATGTTTCCCCTTAAACCACTCGAGTGTTGCTTTAGCAGTATGCTTAGGGTCATTGTCCAGCTGGAAGGTGAACCTCCGTCCCAGTCTCAAATCTCTGGATGACTGAAACAGGTTTCCCACAAGAATTTCCCTGTGTTTAGCGGCATCCATCATTCCTTCAATTCTGACCAGTTTCCCAGTCCCTGCCGATGAAAAACATCCCCACAGCATGATGCTGCCACCACCATGCTTCACTGTGGGGATGGTGTTCTCAAGGTGATGAGAGGTGTTGGGTTTGTGCCAGACATAGCGTTTTCCTTGATGGCCAAAAAGCTCAATTTTTGTCTCATCTGACCAGAGTACATTCTTTCATATGCTTGGGGAATTTCCCACATGCCTTTTGGCGAACACCAAATGTGTTTGCTTATTTTTTTCTTTAAGCAATGGCTTTTTTTCTGGCCACTCTTCCGTAAAGCCCAGCTCTGTGGAGTGTACGGCTTAAAGTGGTCCTATGGACAGATACTCCAATCTCCGCTGTGGAGCTTTGCAGCTCCTTCTGGGTTATCTTTGGTGTCTTTGTTGCCTCTCTGATTAATGCCACCTTGCCTGGTCCGTGAGGTTTGGTGGGTGGCCTTCTCTTGGCAGGTTTGTTGTGGTGCCATATTCTTTCCATTTTTTAATAATGGATTTAATGGTGCTCCGTGGGAGATCTTATTTAGGGGCTTCATAGCAAATGGGGTGAATACATACGCACACACCACTTTTCCGTGATTAATTTTTTTGAATTTTTTGAAACAAGTTATTTTTTTCATTCCACTTCACCAATTTGGACTATTTTGTGTATGTCCATTACATGAAATCCAAATAAAAATCCATTTAAATTACAGGTTGTAATGCAACAAAATAGGAAAAATGCCAAGGGGGATTAATACTTTTGCAAGGCACTGTACATCTAACATTTGATGATGTAAAAAAACATACGAAAACAACAGTTTTTGTGCAATAAATAAAGTTGCATATAACAGTATGAGAAAGCACACATATAAAAATCTAATCTTAAGAGCTATATGTTCATATGAATTCCCAAACATGTAGACAGTAAAAAAAAAGATACATGTGAAAAATACAAACAGAATAACCCATTGTCCTCCCCTACAATGCATTGCTAACTCAGACTGTAGAATCTAGATCGACTCAGATATTTCAGACACAGTCACAACACAAAGTCTATGTTGCATAGAATCAACTGGATAGAACCTGTGGTGTTTGGTCAATGTTTGGCAAAGATCAAAGGTCAAAAGGTCACTATTAAACCAACCAGCCCTCTCACACCTTGACCCCAGGCAGGACATCACTCTGAGTGTGTCCTTTCAACTGAAAGCCACAATACACACCTTCAAATCTCACAGCTCCGTAGCTTACAGATGCATACCAGCCCATAGCGAAATAAATCTGTAGCCAGAGCCAGGACTATGACAAACATACCAAAATGTAATCATTGTAGCATTTCTTAATCAAAGCAACTTTGATTGAACTCATCTACAAACAATAGCCCCAGCTACCAACCTTTCCCCATAGACAAACAGAGAGCCCAATAGGATAGTTTGTACCTAGATATGTGATGGAGCTAGACACACCAACAGAAACAGTCCAAAGCATGCCGCATACACTAACTCCCCCACCCCACCCACCCATCCAATGTATAGATGGACAACTGTTTGGAGGGGACCCTGATGATATGAACCATGGGACACACTTTACTATACACAGGCCAAGAGTGTAATCAAGTATGGTCAACTATATTATATTACTATAATATATTACTATATAATGTATTTCATATATTCATTTGATATACTTATATATACATATATTTATATATATATATATATATATTTTATTTATTTATTTATATATATATATATATATATATATATATATATTCTTATATTTATATATATTATATTTCTCTACGAGTGGGGACATATATTCATCTATACATTCTATAACTTGACAAAGTGCTAAGTAAAACGTGACAGTGCATGTGACGTGATATTTCAAATGTGTGAATGTAAGGAGAAGTCAGAACTACGCTAGTCTTATGCATAGGAGTTCACTATGTATCTTACTAGGAGAAAAACCAGGCTTGAATCAGAGATAAAGCCTGTGCCCAATATTTCACATTCCAAAGGAAGGAAAAAATTAAATGTTAAGCTACAATCATCCAGAATGGATTGTCTGTGATAAAAATATATATATTGATCCTTCACAACGACAGTGTACTCAACTATATACAAAGTCAACCTCATGGGCAACAATGCAACTTTTCACTGTCATGTTCATTAGGTCACCCAACAGAAAACATTTTGCAACTGAAAACTAAAATTAGCATTTCTCCCTGGACAACTCCAGGTAGTCCCTCCTTGTTTCAGTCGGTTTTCTTCCATTTGGTGCCTAATAAACATGACCCTGTGCACAAGACTACCCAGTCTCATAAAACCCACACCAATTATACTTAGAACAATGTTTATATACTATATCTGATATATCAGCATCTAAATGTACATCTAGAGAGAGAAGAGAAGGGGACTGAAAGCAGACAGGGGAAATATTGTTGTCCCAAAATGTAAAAACATGCTTGCCGAGAGCTTTGTGCCTCGTGCCAGATGAGGGAGTCATTTCAAATCGAGAATTAGAATTAAAGTGAGAGTATGTTACAAAATATACTGTGCGTCCCTGGATTCCAAATTCTTCATTCATCATTGAGTACTTAAACAATTGAGGAGAATAATCAATAAAACTCTAATAATCATAATTATAATACAAAAATAAGTGGTGCAATCTCCATACAATAAATCTTCAACATTTCATTCCCAAAATGCTTCATAAATGAATTAAATTCTGCTAATAATATACAAAGCCATGAGGAGAATCCACAGGTAGTTATAATTTCATGAATAAATAAAAACATCTACAGTCAAATAAAGCAATGAGAGAATCTAAACGTGTCCATCCCCTGTATGCATGTGTCAGTCTCTTATGATCATCTTTCTCTGTGGTGTGTTTGAATGTGTGTGTGTGTGAGCGTGTGTGTAATACCTGGTTGATTCTGTTCTTTTTTGTTGCCACAACGTCCTCCTCCCTCCCCTGGCTACACTACTTCCTGTAAACACAAGTTAATTTCTTGTAAACACATACCTACTTCCTCCCCACTACCCTTATCGCCAGAACGCATCTCAAACAAAGATTCTCTCCCCAATCCCCAGTCACAGCTCAAGCAATTCAAACCCTGACCCCTGACCCTTGACACTGAAACTCAAGATCCACAGCATACGTAAGAGATCCCTCACTCCCGCACCCTAACGGTCCTCGCACCCACCCCAACAGTAGACCTGTGAGTATGTCCAGTAGGTCCATAAAGAGTGGATCAGTGATGGAGACAGTAAACTCGAATGCCTTAGCCATCCTCGTCTTTCTCTCTGTGAGTTACGAACCTATAGAATAGACAAGGTTAATAGTAGGTCCTTCAGGAGTGGATCTGAGCAGAGCTAGCCAGCAGTTTGTGCCAGCTGACCACTCGCTTCCGCACGTCCACCTTATCCAGCCAGACGTAGGCCTCTCCAATCAGGGTCTTCTTAATGAACTTCCCTCCATTGGACACCAGGAAGAGCTGGACAGAGGGGAGAGAAGAGTTAGACACCAGGAAGAGCTGGACAGAGGAGAGAGAATAGTTAAGACACCAGGAAGAGCTGGACAGAGGGGAGAGAAGAGTTAAGACACCAGGAAGAGCTGGACAGAGGAGAGAGAAGAGTTAGACACCAGGAAGAGCTGGACAAAGGGGAGAGAATAGTTAAGACACCAGGAAGAGCTGGACAGAGGGGAGAGAAGAGTTAGACACCAGGAAGAGCTGGACAGAGGAGAGAGAAGAGTTAGACACCAGGAAGAGCTGGACAGAGGAGAGAGAAGGGTTAGACACCAGGAAGAGCTGGACAGAGGAGAGAGAAGAGTTAGACACCAGGAAGAGCTGGACAGAGGGGAGAGAAGAGTTAGACACCAGGAAGAGCTGGACAGAGGAGAGAGAAGGGTTAGACACCAGGAAGAGCTGGACAGAGGAGAGAGAATAGTTAAGACACCAGGAAGAGCTGGACAGAGGAGAGAGAAGGGTTAGACACCAGGAAGAGCTGGACAGAGGCGAGAGAAGAGTTAGACACCAGGAAGAGCTGGACAGAGGGGAGAGAAGAGTTAGACACCAGGAAGAGCTGGACAGAGGAGAGAGAAGAGTTAGACACCAGGAAGAGCTGGACAGAGGAGAGAGAAGAGTTAGACACCAGGAAGAGCTGGACAGAGGAGAGAGAAGAGTTAGACACCAGGAAGAGCTGGACAGAGGGGAGAGAAGAGTTAGACACCAGGAAGAGCTGGACAGAGGAGAGAGAAGAGTTAGACACCAGGAAGAGCTGGACAGAGGAGAGAGAAGAGTTAGACACCAGGAAGAGCTGGACAGAGGGGAGAGAAGAGTTAGACACCAGGAAGAGCTGGACAGAGGAGAGAGAAGAGTCATGTTTAGAACAGACATCTAGCAGACACTTTTATCCAGAATATTCTTGGCACCCAGGACCAAAAATTGTGTGCATGCGAGCTGGCCGGCTACTCGATTTATGTAACAGTCTGTCACAAGAGTTCATACCCAGCATGACACACAGAGCATGTGATATAGGGGGCAGCGGTACAGCACACACAGTATACGAGCATCCTACGTATTATACTTTAAATGACATATAACAGTATCTAAGACAAAAAAGAGATGCATGAGATGCAGACAGACAGACAGAGGCAGGCAGGCAGGCAGGCAGACCTGCAGAGAGTGGCCAGTGGGGTTCATGCAGAATCTGAAGGTCTCGTTGAAGGAGGGCTCGCGGTCGTGACGACACACCCGGGTCTTCTTCTTGATGATCCTCTTCTGGGTCGCAATGTTCACCACATACAGCTTCACATAGAGGTCTGTGGACACACACACATGCACTCATATGAGCACACACCACATTTGTCACAAAATAGTTATCTTCTATTTTCTGAAACAGTGTGTGTGTGTGTGTGTCTACATGAGTGTGTGTGTGTGCGTGCGTGTACCTGAATTCACATGTATCTGTACCATTTCAGTGTGCGAGCGAATGTGCATCCACATGAGTGTGTAAACGTGTGTCTGCATGTGTGTGTGTGTACATGTTTGTGTGTAATGTACAGGTACATATACCAGTACCTGGCAGGTGGTCTGGAGACTTGAACTTGTAGGTGATGTTTCTGCACTGGAGAATCTCCAACACCAGCTGGTCTCCCTCTGTCTTCAGCTCCTTCTTCAGAGCTATCTTGATCTCCCCCATTACCTGGGTCTTACCTACACACACACACACACTCACGTTAGTTCAATTACACACCAGTGGCGGTCAGTGCCATTTAAGAGGGAGGACGATATTATTTTTTTAATGAGCATGGCTTTATTTCTATTACAGCATATTGGATGACTGTCATTGATATTCCATTCACCCAGGTCAATGTAACAGCGATAGGTTTAGGCTACTACAGGATAACCCAATTTTCCCTATACCCATCATGAGGTTGCTACAACCTAGCCTATGAATGAAAGTTTACAATGTAGGTGCACATTACCGCCTTGCACACTCTTGCCTGCATCAAGCTGAGCTAGGGTGTAATCATTAGTCCAACAGTTGCAAACAAGAGTTTTCCATTGGACAAATTCAGGTATGTTTATCCCTGTTTTGTTCCGTTTACTTCCATTTAAGAAATGTTTTTTCAACAGAATCAGCGGAATGAATACACCCCTGATCACATGCAAACACAGTTCACTTTGATCCCTTTGATCGTTGTATATTCCCTTATCACATCTACGTGCTCTCCTCCTCTCATCTTTTCCCTTGCTTGTGGACTTCAATGCACAACACATTAGCTGTCTGTGACCAGGCGAAAAAACCTTTCCAAGCAAACCTTCATATCATAACCGCTAACTGCTACACACAGCCTACATCATTGTCACCATATTAACGTCATAGTCAACATAGCTACTAGAACTAACGCATTAGTACACCCGCTATAATCATGCAGTACAGTGTACAGTCAGCAGCAAGCAGTTTAGCAGTTACACCGGCGGGCCCCGGTGGCAATAAATGAATAAAACCAAAAGCTTACCTTGACTTGGAAGAGTTCCAGTGTTGGATAGCCATAGCCAGCTAGCTAACATTGCATCCCTCTCTGTTTGAGCCGGGTGTTTGAGTAGGCTAAGCTAGCTAGCTGCATTTTCTAGCTAAGTGAAAGTGAACAAAAATACAACTAAATATAACTCTCTCTCTTTCTCTTGCTTCCTCTTCATTTTTAAAGAATGAATTTGTTGAAAACTGTTCAACTATTGTCTTTCTCTTTGAGTCAACTACTTACCACATTTTGTGCACTGCAGTGCTAGCTAGCTGAGCATATTCTTTCAGTACTAGATTCATTCTCTGATCCTTTGATTGGGTGGACAACATGTCAGTTCATGCTTCAAGAGCTCTGATAGGTTGGCGGACGTCCTACGGTGCTGCTGTGGCTACTGTAGACCGTCATTGCAAAACAGTGTTTTAATAAATTATTTGGTGACGTGAATACATTTAGTGTAGTTTTATCTAAAAAGGATAACTTTTTTAATGTTTCACTATTTTTATTTTTATGAAATCCATTAAGGATGATGGTCCTCCACTTCCTCCTCTGAGGAGCCTCCACTGATCACTAGAGTGTTCCTTCCATGACACGTGTCAGTACTGTATGAAGTGTGCTCATAAGGTCAGATGAATGTGACTGGTGCTGTTACTTCCTGATGACTTCACAACAATCACAACACTCACACTGGGATTCAACTAAACCTGCCCTAGAGAGCAGACCAGCTAACCATAGTTATATCTGAGGGATGTGTTGACACATACTGTACACACTGAAGCTCACAAGGACATACTCACACCTATACACACACATGCATGCACACCATAGAATTACACTTCCACCTCCAGGGGGTATCCACACACACGCACACACACACACGCATGCACACACACACACACACACATGCACACACACCACTGTGACTTACCCTCAGAGTCCATATGGCCCATTGGTGATATCATCACGTCGGTGCCATTTGGAATCTTCCCACTGTCCGGGACAAGATTATATCAAAATACAGAAATATATACACTGAATGTACTAAACATGTACCCCCATCCCCCTCAATTCTTTCAAGGCTTAACAAATCCTTCTTTAACCTGTCTCTTCCCCTTCATCTACACTGATTGAAGGGGATTTAACAAGTGACATCAATAAGGGATCATAGTTTCACCTGGTCAGTCTATGTCATGGAAAGAGCATGTTTTGTACACTCAGTGTCTATAGAACAAACAGTGTAAAATATATACAACAACCAAACTCACAACCGAGGGACCTGGAAGATGGCACTGTCCACAGCATTAGTCCCGCCCTCTTCCTCCAATAGGCTGTAAGCACTGCCACTCAGACCGCTGTCCAATGAGGCGGCTGTTACCGGGGCGTCACCGGACCTGCCGGGCCGTGCTGTATGGAGATTGGACCACACAGGTCACGAGAGACAGAGAGAGAGAGAGAGGGAGCCCCATACAGGCCTGGTTGAGAATGTACTGCCTTATGTGGGTGCACTATGGGTCTCAATAAAGGCCTTGGTAACTTTTCTCCTTTGGTTTCAGTTAAGTTAGAGTATTACACCACCCATGCCTACTGTTACCATATCAAATATTATTTAGCACTTTGAGTGTGATGGATAGCTCTTCCACCTTACGTGACATAACATGGTGTGTGTGTGTGTGTGTGTTTGATCTACAGATTAAGGGCAGCCAACACCTCTCCTCCAATACACACCAAATTGTTATTATGAATAGCACCACAATGCTATAGAAGACAGGCATGAAGCATACAGGTATGGGCAGATGTTTATCCCTCACACATAAACAAGACAACATTTTCAAACTGGTTCATCACTGGACACACAGAGAGAACACAAGGACACAGACACATAACGATCCAGAGAAATAGTATCAAATGTTAAGCAACATTAATATGTTCACAACAGACCAAACAAAAGGCCCACAGACCCTATTACGCGTTAGTAATCTAAATGTTGGACTAAGTGTGTGTCTGCTTTGTGGGGCTAACTAATAATTTTACTCTAAAACACATTGACGTAAAGTTACTTATAAGTAATTTTTCAATTTGTTATACAAATCATCACAATTACAGTGGGGGAAAAAAGTATTTAGTCAGCCACCAATTGTGCAAGTTCTCCCACTTAAAAAGATGAGAGAGGCCTGTAATTTTCATCATAGGTACACGTCAACTATGACAGACAAATTGAGAAAAAATCATCCAGAAAATCACATTGTAGGATTTTTAATGAATTTATTTGCAAATTATGGTGGAAAATAAGTATTTGGTCACCTACAAACAAGCAAGATTTCTGGCTCTCACAGACCTGTAACTTCTTCTTTAAGAGGCTCCTCTGTCCTCCACTCGTTACCTGTATTAATGGCACCTGTTTGAACTTGTTATCAGTATAAAAGACACCTGTCCACAACCTCAAACAGTCACACTCCAAACTCCACTATGGCCAAGACCAAAGAGCTGTCAAAGGACACCAGAAACAAAATTGTAGACCTGCACCAGGCTGGGAAGACTGAATCTGCAATAGGTAAGCAGCTTGGTTTGAAGAAATCAACTGTGGGAGCAATTATTAGGAAATGGAAGACATACAAGACCACTGATAATCTCCCTCGATCTGGGGCTCCACGCAAGATCTCACCCCGTGGGGTCAAAATGATCACAAGAACGGTGAGCAAAAATACCAGAACCACACGGGGGGACCTAGTGAATGACCTGCAGAGAGCTGGGACCAAAGTAACAAAGCCTACCATCAGTAACACACTACGCCGCCAGGGACTCAAATCCTGCAGTGCAAGACGTGTCCCCCTGCTTAAGCCAGTACATGTCCAGGCCCGTCTGAAGTTTGCTAGAGTGCATTTGGATGATCCAGAAGAGGATTGGGAGAATGTCATATGGTCAGATGAAACCAAAATAGAACTTTTTGGTAAAAACTCAACTCGTCGTGTTTGGAGGACAAAGAATGCTGAGTTGCATCCAAAGAACACCATACCTACTGTGAAGCATGGGGGTGGAAACATCATGCTTTGGGGCTGTTTTTCTGCAAAGGGACCAGGACGACTGTTCCGTGTAAAGGAAAGAATGAATGGGGCCATGTATCGTGAGATTTTGAGTGAAAACCTCCTTCCATCAGCAAGGGCATTGAAGATGAAATGTGGCTGGGTCTTTCAGCATGACAATGATCCCAAACACACCGCCCGGGCAACGAAGGAGTGGCTTCGTAAGAAGCATTTCAAGGTCCTGGAGTGGCCTAGCCAGTCTCCAGATCTCAACCACAGCGACAGCCCCAAAACATCACTGCTCTAGAGGAGATCTGCATGGAGGAATGGGCCAAAATACCAGCAACAGTGTGTGAAAACCTTGTGAAGACTTACAGAAAACGTTTGACCTGTGTCATTGCCAACAAAGGGTATATAACAAAGTATTGAGAAACTTTTGTTTAATGACCAAATACTTATTTTCCACCATAATTTGCAAATAATTCATTAAAAATCCTACAATGTGATTTTCTGGATTTTTTTTCCTCATTTTGTCTGTCATAGTTGACGTGTACCTATGATGAAAATTACAGGCCTCTCTCATCTTTTTAAGTGGGAGAACTTGCACAATTGGTGGCTGTCTAAATACTTTTTTTCCCCACTGTACATCTTAGTAATTGATCGTAGTTTTTAAAAACTTGCATCGTTTAAATGCCTATTTATGTCTTTGCCTTGCAAAAGTCAGGTATAATGAATGCACTGTTTATATTCACAGCAACTCCTAAGTAAGTGTGTTACTGATTGGGTTTGGCCTGGGACTTCTTTGTTCCACAAGACTGTGTTAGCCAGCTGAGCTAAAGCCTAGGCATTAGCTCGGGGATCTTAATGCCAAAACAGGTTTAAATCACTTCTTCAGCTCTGGCAAGGTTACTCACAAAACCACCTCTGTTACATAAGTGCAGTGGTAAGATAGAGTATGACTGGTCGGTTGTGAATAGCATGGCGTGGAATGTGTGAGTCAAGTGACATGAAACTGGATCTATGCCGACGCTCTTCTCTCTCAGGCCTCTCGACACGACAAGATAAAATAAAAGTTTGCTAGTACCATTAAAGGACCCAAGGGAAAACGGAGTAAAAAAGTGTACAGGTACTTTATAAAGTATTATAAACTGGGTGGTTCGAGCCCTGAATGCTGATTGGCTGACAGCCGTGGTATATCAGACCGTATATGACGCGTATGACAAAACATTTATTTTTACTGCTCTAATTACGTTGGTAACCAGTTTATAATAGCAATAAGGCACCTCGGGGGTATTTGATAATTTATATGGCCAATATACCACAGCTAAAGGATGTGTCCTAGCACTCTGCGTTGCTGCGATGTGCCTAAAAACAACCCTTAGCCGTGGTATATTGGCCATATACCACACCCCCTCGGGCCTTATTGCTTAATGGTTTTATGGTAATTGCTGTCAAGCCTGATTTATTATGAATTTCTTCTTCTTCTTCTTCTTCTTATTCTTCTTCTTATTTTTTTATTTTTTTGTAGGGGGTAGATCAGTTTAATACTGCAGATATATTGTAACTTCAATCAATGTAGTTGTCTGCATTTTTTGCAAAAGTATTCACCCCCCTTGGCATTTTTCCTATTTTGTTGCCTTACAACCTGGAATTAAAATTGATTTTTGGAGGGTTTGTATCATTTGATTTACACAACATGCCTACCACTTTGAAGATACAAAATATTTTTTCTTGTGAAACAAACAATAAATAAGACAAAAGAACAGAAAACTTGAGCGTGCATAATTATTCACTCCACTAAAGTCAATACTTTGTAGAGCCACCTTTTGCAGCAATTACAGCTGCAAGTCTCTTAGGGTATGTCTCTATAAGCTTGGCACATCTAGCCACTGGGATTTTTGCCCATTCTTCAAGGCAAAACTGCTCCAGCTCCTTCAAGTTGGATGGGTTCCGCTGGTGTACAGCAATCTTTAAGTCATACCACAGATTCTCAATTGGATTGAGGTCTGGGCTTTGACTAGGCCATTCCAAGACATTTCAATGTTTCCCCTTAAACCACGCGAGTGTTGCTTTAGCAGTATGCTTAGGGTCATTGTACAGCTGGAAGGTGAACCTCCGTCCCAGTCTCAAATCTCTGGAAGACTCAAACAGGTTTCCCTCAAGAATTTCCCTGTGTTTAGCGCCATCCATCATTCCTTCAATTCTGACCAGTTTCCCAGTCCCTGCCGATGAAAAACATCCCCACAGCATGATGCTGTGGGGATGTGCAGTGTACGGTGTGCAGTGTACGGCTTAAAGTGGTCCTATGGTAATATACTCCAATCTCCGCTGTGGAGCTTTGCAGCTCCTTCAGGGTTATCTTTGGTCTCTTTGTTGCCTCTCTGATTAATGCCCTCCTTGCCTGGTCCGTGAGTTTTGGTGGGCGGCCCTCTCTTGGCAGGTTTGTTGTGGTGCATATTCTTTCAATTTTTTAATAATGGATTTAATGGTGCTCCGTGGGATGTTCAAAGTTTCTGATATTTTTTTATAACCCAACCCTGATCTGTATTCTGTAACTTTGTCCCTGACCTGTTTGGAGAGCTCCTTGGTCTTCATGGTGCCGCTTGCTTGGTGGTGCCCCCTGCTTAGTGGTGTTGCAGGCTCTGGGGACTTTCAGAACAGGTGTGTATATATACTGAGATCATGTGACAGATCATGTGACACTTAGATTGCAAACAGGTGCAAACAGGTGTTTTATTTATTAAACAGGACTTTATTTAACTAATTATGTGACTTAGGGGGTGAATACATATGCACGCACCACTTTATAGCAAAGGGGGTGAATACATATGCACGCACCACTTTTCCGTTATTTATTCTTTAGAATTTTTAGATTTTTATTTGTACATTTCACTTCACCAATTTGGACTATTTTGTGTATGTCAATTACATGAAATCCAAATAAAAATCCATTTAAATTACAGGTTGTAATGCAACAAAATAGGAAAAACGCCAAGGGGGATGAATACTTTTGCAAGGCACTGTATATACAGTACCAATCAAAAGTTTGAATGAGTAGGTGGGTCCAAACTTTTGACTGGTAGTGTATATACATATACATACAGTACCAGTCAAAAGTTTGGACACACCTACTCATTCCAGGGTTTTTCTTTTTTTAAACTATTTTCTACATTGTAGAATAATAGTGAAGACATCAAAACTATGAAATAACACATATGGAATCATGTAGTAACCAAAAAAGTGTTAAACAAATCAAAATATATTTTATATTTGAGATTCTTCAAATAGCCACCCTTTGCCTTGATGAAAAGCATTCCAGGTGAAGCTGGTTGAGAGAATGCCAAGAGTGTGCAAAGCTGTCATCAAGGCAAAGGGTGGCTATTTGAAGAATCTCAAATATAAAATATATTTTGATTTGTTTAACACTTTTTTGGTTACTACATGATTCCATATATGTTATTTCATAGTTTTGATGTCTTCACTATTATTCTACAATGTAAAGAAAATTAAAAAGAAAAGAAAAACCCTGGAATGAGTAGGTGTGTCCAAACTTTTGACTGGTACTGTACATACACATACATACATACATACATACATACATACATACATACATACATACATACATGCATACATACATACAAAGCCTGATTTATTGTTAGGGAACAATGCCAGAGCCCTGGATTGATAGTCCATTTCCTGGTATTAGCAAACTGTGTCGGCGGCCATTAAGAAATTGTGTCTCACTGCATGAATCTCTGGCTGTGTGGCTGGCTGTGTGGCTGTGTGTTAGCTCTCTCTCACTCTCTCTCTCTCACTCTCTCTCTCTTTCTATCTTTCTTTCTCTCTCTAGGTCACAATCTCTCCTAATTTCCCTTTCTGTCTATTGTAGCTTGTCAGATCTCTTTTTGTCTGTTGTATGTTGTCAGATCTCTCTCTTTCTGCAGGTGTGCGTTAGTAGTATCCCAGCCTGCCTCTCTGCAGTCAGTCACACGACAGAGACGTGCAACTCTCACCTCCTTCCCTCTGTGGCCTCTCTTCAGACATGGCTTTCCTGAAGGTCAGGTGTCTGCCGTCTGCTTGGCTCCCATTGGCTGATGTTGCCGGGCCCGGCGGGGCAGGGAGCGAATCGGATTGGGCTTTCTGAATGGTGAGCACGCCCACTATGCTGTGTCTGTGGTGCCTCAGGGAGAGGCGGCCTCTTTGGGCTGGGGGGTAGGAGACTGGAGGGGGTAAGGGGCGCAGGCGCGGGACAGGGTCACGCCAAGGGGGTAGAGGGCAGAGGTCAAGGCCGGGGGCAGGGGGCGGGGCGAGATGGAGACTCAGAAAGCAGGAATATCATCACCATGGAAACCAGCTTTACTGTCAGTCACATGCAGCCACAGAACGCGGTGCGTAGTCGCCCCGCCCCTCCACGTCACATAGGGGTGGGGCGTGCAGCATCTACTGAAGTGCATTGTGGTCCAAAAAAAAAAAAAAAGGGTGGGTGGGAGAGGGGCAGCGGACTGCATGCACAGCCGTCTCAGAGTGGAGTAGCTTCAGAAAGCCGGCCATTTTGGTATAAAACAGAACAAAATAAGTCCACACCACAGGGAAAAAAAGGGATAGTGAAATTTAAACGGAGGGAGCTTGGATCAGGTAGATCAAACGATTCAAGTGCTATCTAATGGTAATTCCTAGCCTTCACTCTCTTGGACCATGATACCATGGCTAGTCCAAACTGAATAAAACATACTGTGTCTACTAATCTGCTGAGTCTACTGTGTGTACCATGGTAGTCATTGGCTTGACTAGTCATGTGAGAGCACTGGCAGTGGTGCTGTGTTCTGGCACTGATTGACAAGTGGTCCCAAAGTGACCTTTCAAAAGCCCTACTTGTTTGTTGGGAGTCAGTCTTGTTTAAGATCATCGTTGTCATTCTGCGACATTCTGTTAACTGTCTTACAAAATTAATTAACACAAGAACATTTAAAAGAATGTTTGAAACAAACTTGGTTTAGGGGAGGATGATTAAGCCTGCAACCTTATGATTCGTTATTTAAACGTTTAGTTTCAATTTATGACATCATTTAACAGAGGGTTTAGTGTCTGTTTTTAGAAAAGTTAGTTTCATTGTAGTAATTGTATATTCCTTCTTATCAAACTTTTAACCAATGGAGTTTAAAATGCTTTTAACAGCAATCTTTGTGGCTCTGGCGGTTCATTGAAACAGGGCAAACTTAGGAGTAAACTCTAAAACAGGAAGTGCTTCAGTACAGTAAGTGTGATGCCAGATCTACACACCGAAGAGAAGCAGTGAGAGGTGGGCACACCGTGAATACGGAAGGGACCAGAAGTAGGACAAATGTACAAAAAAGGAGGGGAAGAAAATAGAAGGAAACGGGGAAAAAAGAGAAATGAAAGAAAACAGCTCAAACTGGACAGAAGGGAGAACAGATGAGCGCGAGGCGGCCATGCTGCGGAGGCTTTATTTGCGTCTTTTACTTGGTTGGAGGCGGTGCTGTTGCTGCGGAGCCAGAGCTTCACCCGTTGCTACTGCGACACCGCCGGCGCCATCCTGCTGGTGTTGCCTTGCACTTTTGCGAGGCGCCGCACGTGGAGCCGCGCGTGGCGTATGTTGGCTATGGCCCTCGGACGGGGAAGGCTTCGACGTGCCGGGGCTACTGTGAGATTTCTCAATAGTGGGCACCTGCGTGTCTAGAACAACCAAATTCACCAATTACCATCTACCATTTCCATTAAAGCTACCATCTGTTGTTGTGCTCTTCTGTTTTTACATCAGGGCTAGCTAGTAACTAAGCTACATGCCACATTATGTAGCGCCCTGTCTAAATGACCCTTTGGAAGTGGGTATTTTCCACTTGTTTGGGCCACATAACTTTAGGGTTTTCCACTTAAATTTGGGGTTTTCCAATTAAGTTTAGGGTTAAGACTGAGGAGATGGGGGTTGTTTTCAAAGCCTTCCACGGCCATGTTGTGTAAGAACGGGAATGGAGGAAGCTGAGAGTAGGAAAAATCTGAGCTGAGTGGAGTCATGGCAACAACAGAAAATAAAAACATGGCAAAGCAAAGAGCATGAAGCCAAAGCTATAATGGGTGAGTCAGAATGGCGAGAGAGAAGGAAAGAAATAAAGTGACAGAGACAGGATAGAAAGAGATAGACAGAGAGAAAGAGAGAGACAGGCAGAGAAAAAGAGAGAGACAGGCAGATAGATAGATAGGCAGAAAGATAGAGAGAGACAAAGACAGCTAGAGAAAACGAGAGAGAGAGAGAGAGAGAGAGAGAGAGAGAGAGAGAGAGAGAGAGAGAGAGAGAGAGAGAGAGAGAGAGAGAGAGAGAGAGAGAGAGAGAGAGAGAAAACGAGGGAGAGAGGGGAGAGAGAACAAGAACAGGTACAGATAGAGAGAAAGGAGTACGGTAGGTTGTTCATGATGACTATGAGGCCAAAGGGATGAGAAAGACTGGACCTCTCCTACCTTTGGCTGGATCAGGAAAGATCCCGTGGCTCCGGCTCTTGATGACCGATGACTTGGGCGAGTCCTGGTTCCCGTGGGAGGGGGTTTTGGGGGAGGCGTGCTGCGAGGGGGGCTTTGGGGAGTCCTCTTTACCGTGGGCGGGGGTTTTGGGGGAGGCGTGCTGCGAGGGGGGCTTGGGGGAGTGCTGGCGCCCCTGTGCTGGAAGGGAGCGCCGGTGGTGCTCTCCCTCACTCTGTTCCTTCAGAGGGAGCCAGCGTGGGACGTTATCCATGTTAGCCGTGTTGGACAGGTCCATCAACACCTAGAAGAACACCCACACACAGCCCCTTTAACATCAACCTCACATAGTGGATGGCTGCTACTTATAGGTAACTTACAGCAGCATCACAGTAATGTATGTCACCCTCACAGAAGTGCTATGGACAAAATGCATGTCTCTCTCTCTCACCTCTCCCAGAAAGTCATTGGAGGAGCACTTGTCGTAGTCCCACACGCTCACCTCCAGCATCTTCTTCCTCAGCTGAAACACAGCGCGCACACACACACACAACACACATTATTATTCCTCTAAACTCACAAATGCAGTATTCACAGTAACCAACACACGTCAAATACACAGGACATTGTGGTTATTCCAAAAGCAGCTAGTGATACTGTACCAGTACCTGTTCCAGGTGGATGTTCTTATAGATGACAGTCTGGTTCCACTCTGGGTTCAGACTCTTGCCAGCTTGTTTTGATCTCCTCTTATTCTCAGCACTGGAATCACACACAGACACGTAGACAGAGCAGGCCATTAGCAAGGTACACACACACACCTGTAGACTATGTAAACACACACACACGCATACACACTTGCACACACACACACACACATACACACACTCGCACACACGTAGCCTACGTACACACAGACACACACACACACTCACACACTCACACACACACACACTCACACACTCACACTCACACACACACTCACACTCACACACACTCTCTCACTCTCACACTCACACACACTCTCTCACACACACTCACACACACACAAAACACAGAAATTCAGAGCACAATAGCACAATGTTAGGGTGTAGGGCACAATGTAAGGGAGTAGGGAACAATTTAGGGCACATTTAAAATGGAAGACTATAGGGAACAACACTGGATACAACGTAAATCACAATATCAAGAACAACGTCAGGGTGAGGTACAAAGTAAAACACAATGTTAGAAAAACTATTTATATATCTGACAGACATGTAGGGAAATTAGTTAGGGGAAAGTGGGGATCATATGTTAGGGCATATCATAGCGATTAGAGGTAGAGTCTACTGTAGTATGCATATTAGAACACAATCTAAGGGTGTAGGGAACAATATGAGGGCATAGGGCAGAAGTGTACAATACATGGGAGTGGAAAGGTGTTAGAGTGAGTATATAGTGACTTGCTGGGGTTACACACTCGTCACGAGCTCCACATGCATTGGGCCCTGAGCCTTCAAATCAATCGTCATCATAATCCCGGTCCATCAACAACGTTACTACAACCTAACGGCAACCATCAAAGTCAAAAGTCAGAGTGGGCAATTCACATACCTGGCATTCTGGACAACCATGACCTGACTGAATGGGTCCAGCATGCATTAAATATAAGAACAGCATACAGAAACAAGGGTCAGTGTCGAGAGGGGGGGGGGGGGGGGGGTTAAGTGAGGGTTCAGGTGTGTGCGTGTGTGTGTTTGGGGAGGTCAGTAACAGGGAAGTGGGCATGGGGCACAGGATGTGTGTTGGGGCAGTGAGAGAGGAATGTGTCTGTGTGTATTGTGAGTGTGCATTATCCCCCAGCATGTGTGTGCTTGTATATGTATGTGTGTTACATTGTAAAGGTCCAGTGGTCCCTAAGGACCCCATAGATAAGGGTTGGGTAGGTGGGAGAGCTGATTACAACACAACATAATTACATTAAGCACTGAGATCCAGACGGCTACAGTGTGGATCGTATTACAAGCTATTATGAGTCTTATTGATTTCCCTGCTCTATTCCGCCTAGCAACAAGAGCAAAGGGGAAAACTCATCAGAACTACATGGCAAAATATAACATAATTTACATACTCTTTAGGGTATTACACATGTCTCGTTTGACGCTGACGCCCTTCATAAAAACTAGATATCAAATGTCTACATAGAAATAGAGGTCCTAGAATGGTAATTCAATTTCATGTCATGTAACAGGCTTGTAACAGGCTTATCATAGTGGTATGGTATCTGACATCAGGTGTGGGTGGTGCATAGAACACAAAAAATGGCCAGCTAAAATCAATCGTAAATCGATTTTAAGATGAATGGGAGTTAGTTTTGAGCTTTCCAAAATGGCCACCTTTTGAAGTGGTCTAGCCATGGTTTTAATGGTAATCTCAGTTCTATGCATTTATTCCGTATGAATGTGTTTGTCTACATGACCTGAAATTCATATATTTACCATGGCAAGGCCTACTAACCTAATCACCTTTCCAGTGTTTTATATACACTTAAAACAATTACAGTAACACTTTACCACAAAACCATTCGACACTGCTATCGATAATGCTTTCACTGCGATATGACACAGTTCATTATTAACTCACAGTGATGTACATCCGACAAGGAAATGCTCTGGTAACATTACAGAGCATAGATACATCGACAGAGCACAGCAACAGAGCAAGGATGAAAAGTGAAAGACTTACATAATGGTTGTAGTGTGTAAGCTACTATAGGTGGTCTGTGAAGTATACTTGACTTCTCTCACCAAAGAGATTGTTCTCTCCTTGACTTGACTTGTTCCAGTGTTTCTGTCCCTACCTCTCTGCTATAGCCTTGAATCCAAACTGAATACCACTCCTCTCTGCTATAGCCTAGAATCCAAACTGAATACCACTCCTCTCTGCTATAGCCTAGAATCCAAACTGAATACCACTCCTCTCTGCTATAGCCTTGAATCCAAACTGAATACCACTCCTCTTGTCACGCCCTGGCTCTGGGACTCTGTTATGTTGAGCCAGGGTGTGTAGTTTCTATGATTTTGTGTTCGAGGTTCATTATCTAGCTGATGTGTTTTCTATGTTGGCCGGTGTGGTTCTCAATCAGAGGCAACGTGAATCAGCTGTTGATTGTTGTCTCTGATTGGGAACCATACTTGGGCAGCCTGTTTTCCACAGTGTGTTGTGGGATCTTGTTCCGTGTATGGTTTGTGTCTGTTACTAAGGACTTCACGTATCGTTTTGTTGTTTTGTTCGTTGTGGTACTCTAAATAAAGAAGTATGTTCACTTATCACGCTGCGCATTGGTCCACTTCTATCGACGATCGTGACACCTCTCTGCTATAGCCTTGAATCCAAACTGAATACCACTCCTCTCTGCTATAGCCTTGAATCCAAACGGAATACCACTCCTATCTGCTATAGCCTTGAATCCAAACGGAATACCACTCCTCTCTGCTATAGCCTTGAATCCAAACTGAATACCACTCCTCTCTGCTATAGCCTTGAATCCAAACGGAATACCACTCCTCTCTGCTTGCCTGGAAACTAAATTGAATATACTTTAATTTCAATGAAAAAATAGTGATATTCAGTTTGGATTCCAGACTAGCTTTCTCTCTTTGGTATGGTTGTAGAATTCTGTTAAGTTTCCCCAAATTCCCAGGTTTTCCAGAAATCCTGATTGGAGGATTCTGGATAAGCCACTTATTCTCTCCTGACTTATGGAAAACCTGGGAATTTGGTGAAAGTTACCAGAATTTTGTAAACCCTACTCGTAGCGTATCCCATAGACTCACCCCCTCCCAGGTAGGAGGTAGACTTTGACAAAGGGGTCTGAGTAGCCATTGTTGTCTCTGGGGGCCAGGTTCCTGGCTTGGAGCACGTGGACAATCAGGTTCCCCAGCTGCTTGTCATAGTTGATTTGAAGCTGCAAAATCAAGAGACAGTGGAATCATAATGGGGTGAAATCTCAATGAGACGATCGGTCTTAGTAAATAAAAGCGCGTTATGAAGTGTATGAATATACAAGCAGTGGTGAGTCAAGGAATCTCAAAACAAGGCTTGGTCAGCTGACCTGTATCTCTCCAGTAACAGGGTGGGATTGTGTCTTCACTGCGTCTGCAGACTGGAAGACAAGAGAGAAACACATTTAGGAACAGCAGTTGTGGATGTGTGCATACAAATAACTGACAGTGAGTACAGAATTATGCATAAGATTAGTTAGAAACGCTTTCAAACTAAAATGCATACAACATACAGTATGTGTCGATATAGAATTGCCTGTCTATTGAAAATTAGACAGTTCTTTTGAACATAAAATATGTTCTAGTTATGCAACCAGAAGACGTTGCCTGTGTTCAATTTAGCTCCACATCACCCTCCACACTTTCACCTTGCTGCTGTGGCGTTTCTTGCTGACGGAGGGCGACCCCGGCTGGCCCGGACTCTGGATGGCGCTAGAGGCGGCCGAGGCGGTGCCTGAGATGGCAGAGTGGGGACCTTTCTCTCCCCCCGCCGTGGAGGAGGAGGACGTGGCGGTGGTAGGGGGAGGAGCCTGCTGCTGGGACACCTTCTGCAGCTCTGCAGCCAGCTGCTTCGGATCCACCCCCGGAGACCTGGGGGGTCTGTCACCTAGAGCACAGACACACACGTATGGACACAAATTCACAAAGAGAAACACACACACACAGATGTTTGAAGTTATGGAATCATTCACTGTGATAGAGGCCATAGTGACTGAAATATTCTAGTTGCAGAACCTTAAGGGCTTTTGCACCTTTAGTGAGGAGAGGAGAGGAGAGGAGAGGAGAGGAGAGGAGAGGAGAGGAGAGGAGAGGAGAGGAGAGGAGAGGAGAGGAGAGGAGAGGAGAGGAGAGGAGAGGAGAGGAGAGGAGAGGAGAGGAGAGGAGAGGAGAGGAGAGTTGGGGAAGTTGGCAAGAGAGGGATAATAGCTGAGAAAAATGAGAGAGAGGGGGAAGATAGCAGAGAGAAAGAGCGTGAACAAAAGGAGAAAATAGAGAGAGGGGACACCCTGGGGTGAAGAGGATCAGCTCTTACTCTACCTGGTTTGCTCTGGTCCGGGAGATCAAGGTGCTGAGAGCCCTCCGAGTCAGACAGCATGTTCAGATCTCTAAGAGAGAGAGAGGGAGAGACCAGATTGAGAGAGAGAGAGACCAGATTGAGAGAAATAGAGAGAGAGAGACCAGATTGAGAGAAAGAAAGAGAGAGAGGGTAAGAGAGAGAGAAAGAGACAGGATGGGAAGAGAGAAAAGAGAAAGAAATGGTGTCAAAAAGAGAGGACAGAGATGAGTGTGTGAGACACAAGTAACCAGTAAAGTGAGGGAGTCCGAGGCAATGAGATGAATTTAAAAATAAACGTATTCTATGTGAATCAGAAACAACCCACTCTAGAGAACTACTGAAGCTAATGAAGACTGCTCACTTTCAAATACTTGAGGTGGAACCCCCGCAAGGCTCTCATCAGTGAGTGTAGCTGGCTGCGCTGAAATATATATCTTACGGCTTAAATTCCTCCTCCTCCTCCCTCAAATCATAAAGTATAAAGGGAGAAGAGCGAGAGGAAGGTAGCTGGACAGAGAGAAAGTGAGAAGGAGAGGGAGAGACATAGAGAGAGAGAAAAAGTGACAGGAACAGAGAGAGAGGTAGCCTAAGACCAATAACAAAGGGAGAGAGAGTCACAGAGAGAAAGTGAGACGGAGAGGGAGAGGAGAAAAGATGCTCACAGTCTCACGCAGAGTTCTGCCTCGCCACACTGCTGTACCACAAGCCCCTGCACTTCCTCGTAGGTCTTCCCCGTCAGAGGAAGCCCGTTCCACTCCAGCACCTGCATTCCTATATTCACACACGCACACACACACACACACACACACACACACACACACACACCCACACACACACACACACACACACACACACACACACACACACACACACACACACACACACACACACACACACACACACACACACACAGTTAGTTTATTATATGAAGTGTATCACACCTAATTATCACACTCGAAAACTGAAACCAATTAGCTAAGTGTAAAGTGTATCACCTCACACACACACACATACAGAAACAGACCACACCATCATCTATAACACACACTACCAATGACTCATGTTTTAACACCAAAACACACTGCTGTGCAGCCTCCTATGAACTTCAACTCTTTCTCTAACAACCCCATGCTTTGAAGAAAGTTAAACCACATGACCACAGGGTCAGTAGCAGGGGTTGGATCAATTCAATTTCAATTCAGTCAGTACATGAGATCACATTCAAATTCTAGCGTAGAAAAGTGTTGCTTTTTCAAGTCTTGTACTGAAGTTTCGATTCACTTCCTGAATTGAAATGGAATTGACCATGGTCAGTAGTTAGAGGTCAGATCAGGCCAAAGCACTGCAAACTCACACGCACACACACGCACAAACACACACACATACACGCACACATGGCACACACACACACACGGCACACACACACACACCAGTCCTACAGCACTGCAAATGCACACACTCTCCGTGCCGTCCAGTAGCACTCACACAGATGAAAGCGAGTCTTGACGTAGGCCAGGTAGGCCCTCTGACTGCGCCAGAGCTCTTGAGCTGTGTGTTACCCACATGGAGTTTCACACTAGTTACTCAGTGACACAGTATGGCGGTATGACTCATCACACACACACACACACTCTGTCTGAGCCTTCGCACCTGCTAGAATTGACACAATTCTGTATTCACACCGTTCACTGTGAGAAACCATGTTCCAAAGTTTCAGCGGAAGTGTCACCTTACGTAGACATTCTGTTTGGAACTGACACAGTAATAGCTGCTGATCTCCACGGTAACGTTTTCACGGACAAAACAATGAGCCCCGCTAGAGTGAAAGATAACAGTGTCACTAGACTACTACCTATCTCCTTCAGGCCTGTATGTTTTAGTCATCGAATAACAAATACTTCTGATAAATGCAACTTCTTGGGATCATCTTAAATGTGTGCATTAATATGTGCATGCAGACGTGGAGTAAGAATAACATGTATTTGATTTGAATGAGGATTGATGATCTGCACTGCACTGTTTGGAGTTATCTGATGGGCATTTTGAAACAGAGAGGTACTGGATCTGAATTTGTACAATAAGAAGAACACAGGTGTTCATTTTCAGTTGCAAAACGTTTTGCCATGGTGTGCCCTAATGAACACAACCCAGGAGTTGACTGTATGCAGAAGAGATTGAAGATGATGCCTCCATAGCTGACCTACTAGACTAGTGCAGAGGTGAGATCCAACTTGTCACAGCATTGATAAATACACACACAGGTCCAGACCAGCCTGTAGTTAAAGATCGTTCTGAGACAGCAGACACAGAGGAAGAACAGCTGTTATACAAGCCCATGATAAATCAGAGAGAGATAAAGAGAGAGAGAGAGAGAGAGAGAGAGAGAGAGAGAGAGAGAGAGAGAGAGAGAGAGAGAGAGAGAGAGAGAGAGAGAGAGAGAGAGGGAGGACAAAGATAAATTGATGGAGGAGAGATTGTTCAGGTGCAGGGAGGAAGGGACAGAGAGAAAGCAAGAGATCATGAGGGAGGGAGGGAGAGAGAGTGAAGGAGGGAAAGATGAAGAAAAATGGGGAGAGAGCGCACACACACCAAATGCATGCACACACACACAATAACACACACACACACAGTGTGACAGATGGATGGCCCTAGCTCCCACCAGGTGGCTCTGGGTTGTATCTCTTCCCTCTTCTCTTTACAGTCCTCCGTCCCACCTCTCATACATCAGGCCATAGACGGCCCATACAAAGGCAGGGGCCACAGCCGTGCTAATTTACAACCATCCTGCATGGTCCCTGTACAATCCCCAGACTGAGACAGAGAGAATGAGAGAGAGAGACCAGAGAGACCAGAGAGAGAGAGAGAAACCAGAGAGAGAAAGAGAGAGAGAGAGAGAGAGAGAGAGAGAGAGAGAGAGAGAGAGAGAGAGAGAGAGATACACAGCACCACTGTGCGTGTTCTCCCTCCAGTCAAATCAATAAGTCTCATGAAATTAATTTCTGTTAATACGACACATAGCCATCCATCTTCAGGTAGTGTTGTATTGAGAACAGGCCAGGAGTGAGATGATGACTGTTTAGGGATAAATGGACAATGCTTACTGCTTGTTGTGCCTAAGGCCCCTTAGTTTGGATTCAGACCTATACAACTCTGGGCACTAGCGCTGCCATTGAGTTATAGCACATTCCCAGAGATGATAATAAAATAATATGGGTAAACCCTGACCGAAGGAAAGTAACAGAAACGCTAATGCAAACATTGCTAAGTTGGAGTAATAGAAGCTACCATCACAAAGCTAACTTCCAAAGCTTTTCCCAAACCTACAATGCATTTTGAGATTTGATTGAAGAAAAGCTGTGATATCATTACATTCAGAATTCTGAAAGCGCTTGGGTAAAATCTCTCAAACCTTTCTTTCTCTAAAGCCCCCACCCCCCCCCCCCCCTTCACATTGGTAACTGAGTCATAGACCATTGCCTGGAGGTGACAAAACAAAATGCAAATTAACTTCTATTTTTGTCATCTCCGTGTCATTCCTCAAGCTTTCCCTCCCTGATTCAGTCAGTTTGGTGCCTAATGAATACGACCCAGGAGCGCAGCATATATCCCAGTATGTGTGACCTTAACTTACCCTCTAGTATCTTCCCAGTCTGTTGGGCAACTCCTCCAGGTAAGACTTTAGCTACGTAGGCTCCGATGTCTCCGTTGGTCCCTGGAACCTCCTTACCTCCCACCACTCTGATACCCAATCCATTTCCTGGAAATTAAGAGGTAGAAACCCACAAATAAGTGAGAAGCATGCACACACACAAATATACACATGCACGTACAGTGGTCAGACACACATTAATAGTATGCATGCACAGGAATATATATCCAGTGTAGACTGTAGACACACATTTATGTGCACACACACACACACACACACAGCCATTTAAACTAAAGAGTAAATACGCGCTTTTCACACTCTGACACGGGTACAAGTCATCCAAATCCCACAGACAAATGGTTCATTTTAACACGGCTCCACATAAACAAGCACTTTATTTGTGGCCTGCTGACTAATTGCAAAAAGCTAATCCGGTGTGTGAATGATACGCCATTTTGAGCCGGAATGGATGACTGATGAGAGTGGAGATGTGCCAAATCAACAGAGGAGCCATGAAATGTCTACCCCATTTTGGGTCGAGACAAACATTAAGAGCTGGCACTGTGCTAAGACAGCTGTGTTTATTACAGCCTAAATGAGAGTTCAAAAGGAGTAGACGTCCTACATTTCATGTTCTAAATGGTTAATTTGACTCTCATGGAATTTACAGTAAATGCCTGGTAGCTGTAGAAACGTCATAGATATGATAAACTGTGATTCAATCAATCAATCACGTTTATTTATAAAGCCCGTTTTACATCAGCAGTTGTCACAAAGTGCTTATACAGAAACCCAGCGTAAAACTCCAAAGAGCAAGCAATGCAGATTGTGTCCATGTGCAAGGTACAGTCAACTGTGTTTCCCTTACCTGATACACTGCGGTCCTTGGGATCCCTCTGCAGTTTGACTCTGGTGTGAGGAAAGGGGTAGTACACACCCTTCCCCTGAGAGACACATACAGGAAACTACATAAGTGTTTTATAGGCGATTACACCCCAACAGATAGCTGCAGTTACTGATACAAATGCATGCTTGAAAATGTCTCCACAATTATGTACACATTAATATGTATGTAATTAGTGTTGGTTATTTCTGCAAGAATGAATAAACAGTAAAGCATTGTGTTAAAAGTCTGTGTGCATATGGGCATTTCTTAACTTCATGACTTGTGCCGTGTGTGGGAGCGTGCGTGTCACCTGTCTCCTGTCCGGCCCTTGTCCATTCTCTGGTCGTCCATCTCGTGGTTTGTCAAACCAGTCCGTCTCCTCTCGCCGTAGGTGGTAAGCTTCAGGGACAAATAGGCCATGATCACTAACCCTGTCAATCAGTCCCTTCTAACCTATCAGTGGGGACAAGCTCTCTGATTGGTTGGAAGAGGATTGCATGCTGGAGAGGGGACGGGTGATTGTAGAAACAGGAAGGAAGAGAAAGAGGCCTCCCAGAAAGGTAAACATTTAATTATTTAGGGCATTTCAAGATATAATTGACAAGCAGCTAAATTATGATACTTTCCTGTTGAAATATTTAACGCCACGGGTAACTTTAACTTATCTTATCTCATGCAGATGTAATTTATCGGCATTAATGTTTTGCATGTTTTTGGTGTCATGTTTTTCACACTATCATGCCAACCTGACCCATGCTCTTTTTAGATAATATGGCACAGTATAGGGTTAGTCCGTTTTCTTTCCATAGTTTATCACAACTGGCACAAGTTACTGTACAGTATGTAACCACGGTAACAGTCTGACATTTAGGCTAGTCTAGCTCACTTTTAGAGTGCTGGAAAATGTGAAAATAACTGTGCGGTTCTGTATCTTTAGATCAGCATTGACAAACTGCAGGTTTGAATTTCCGATTGGTGTAAAGCGAACTCCCTGACTCATTGTACGCTCATCAATAAGGAACAAACTGTACACAGAAGCCAGCTAACATCTGTTGAATGCTTCACACACCAACATTGAGTCATATTGGAAATACATGTTGACGTCTGGAATGGTTAAGATGTTGGCGTATGGATAGTTGACAGGTAGGGGGTTGGGGAGGAGAATGGAACTAATATCGTTAAGGTGAAGTTAAGGTTATGGTTTGGTCTACATGTTGGCTTATGGATGATTGACAGGTAGGGGGCAGGGGAGGAGAATGGAACTAATATCGTTAAGGTTCGGTTAAGGTTATGGTTAAGGTATGGTCTACATATTGGCTTATGGATGATTGACAGGTAGGGGGCAGGGCCGGGGTAGGAAAATGGAACTAATAGAACTAATACTCTACCGTTTGGGATATTCTCATGTGATTGTCGGGGATCATCTCTGTTCAGTGCCAGCATGGAGTCACTCAGGGCTGTAACCAAGGCAAATTGATAAACATGGAGTTTTCTGCCCCATATTTGACCCCCTCTCAATCAGAAAGATTTCTGTCTCCCAGATGTCTTTTATACAGGTAATGAGCTGAGATGAGGAGCACACTCTTAAAGGGAGTGCTCCTAATCTCAGCTTGTCACCTGTATAAAAGACGCCTGTCCACAGAAGCAATCAATCAATCAGATTCCAAACTCTCCACCATGTCCAAGACCAAAGAGCTCTCCAAGGATGTCAGGGACAAGATTGTAGACCTACACAAGGCTGGAATGGGCTACAAGACCATCGCCAAGCAGCTTGGTGAGAAGGTGACAACAGTTGGTGCGATTATTCGCAAATGGAAGAAACACAAAAGAACTGTCAATCTCCCTCGGCCTGGGGCTCCATGCAAGATCTCACTTCATGGAGTTGCAATGATCATGAGAACGGTGAGGAATCAGCCGAGAACTACACGGGAGGATCTTGTCAATGATCTCAAGGCAGCTGGGACCATAGTCACCAAGAAAACAATTGGTAACACACTAAGCCGTGAAGGACTGAAATCCTGCAGCGCCCACAAGGTCCCCCTGCTCAAGAAAGCACATATACAGGCCCGTCTGAAGTTTGCCAATGAACATCTGAATGATTCAGAGGAGAACTGGGTGAAAGTGTTGTGGTCAGATGAGACCAAAATCGAGCTCTTTGGCATCAACTCAACTCGCCGTATTTGGAGGAGGAGGAATGCTGCCTATGACCCCAAGAACACCATCCCCACCATCAAACATGGAGGTGGAAACATTATGCTTTGGGGGTGTTTTTCTGCTAAGGGGACAGGACAACTTCACCGCATCAAAGGGACGATGGACGGCGCCATGTACCATCAAATCTTGGGTGAGAACCTCCTTCCTTCAGCCAGGGCATTGAAAATGGGTCGTGGATGGGTATTCCAGCATGACAATAACCCAAAACACACGGCCAAAGCAACAAAGGAGTGGCTCAAGAAGAAGCACATTAAGGTCCTGGAGTGGCCTAGCCAGTCTCCAGACCTTACTATAGGTCAAAGGGTCAAGTTCTACACACTTATTATGGGATAGGGTTATAGGAACTAGGGGGTTTATTTCTGAGTGGATGGTCCTGTCATGACAAGTGTAGATTTTTTTGCTGTTCATATTTATATGAAATCACGTAAACAGTGTTGTGAAGGGTATCATTTTAAAATAGACATGGTTGTCAGCAGGATAGAGAGAGAGACATAATAGAGAGAGAATAGAGAAAACTGTTTTGCATTTTGTTGGAGCACAAAAGACCCTGATAAAGATGTTAAGCGATATCACAGAATCAGGAAGAGCTTTGTTCATGCTACAATAAACATTATATTCCCCAGGCAACATGTACAACAGAAAGGTATGACACCCATGCACATATTCAGACAAAGACATGCAAATGAAATTATAGTTTTTGATTTATTATAGATTAACAGAACATGCATTAACATAACATGCATTGGAAAACCCTTAGAGATGGACATGCAAGAAAGTGAGAAAGAATTATAGAAATGTTCAAGTGTATTTCATCCAAATAAGACATACTGCACTGATGCAATGCTAATATTGTATGTACCTAACTACCACAACAAAATACATTTAAACCTTCCAACAGGTCTGTAATAGCCTATCGTAGTCTAAATACACAACGTGCAGTGTTCACACAGATACACATTCCTATGATGTATCATATTTTGTCCTCAATTGAACTACTGAATTGTATATAAACATCAAATATATGAAGGACAAAGCAATAAACACATTTTGCTAGCCTTAGGCACTTTTTCAATATATCACCTCAGAGAAAGCGAGGCTCTTTTCTAATTTCCCTGCACAATCTGACCTGAGCTTTCAAGTAGAGGGATTATTCTACTATTCTACTCCGAACACCTGTGCGTTAGATAAACAAGCAAGTTGTGAAATACTCCTCCAGGACTTAAAGCACAAAACCATATTTTCAAGTATGTCAGTTATAGAGCACAAATGACAGCATTTAGCAAACAAAACTGCTGATCAGTTTCAGAGAGAGAATGCTATTGGAGGAAGGATACCTTCTACATACAGTATCTTTAAGTGATAGACAGTATAGAGTACCATGCATAGAGCTTAAATAGGAAAATATATATTATATAATGATATATTCCAACGCAGACACAATCACATGCATTTAGAGACCAAAAAAGAGCCAAATGAGGGATTAAACATCAAAGGACATCAACACAGACAAATACATAATATAGTAATTACATTCAGTAAAGTCAACTTGAAACTTGCATTGAGACCAATACATAAAATCAAAATCAAAGGAAGTGAATGAATACATTCAGAATAGACAATAGATGAAGAAACCAATAAAGACACAGATAAGACATGAGGAAAGCCAAAAGTCATGGGTGGTATATGTGGGTGGTATATTGGGAGCATGCAAGCAGAGTCAGTTCAAAATAGGAAGAACACAGTTCTGAACTGATGCTGTTGTCATTTACCTTCGCCGTCCGACATGGTGCCCTGGTGGTCGTCCATCAAGACGTAGCCCCGCCCCCTCGTTGGCTCCTCCCTCAGGTGCTGCTGCTGCTGGGAGTCCTGCAGGGAGAGGCACGAACCAAATTGGTCCCGCGAGTCGGCCGAGATGGGCGGCAGGGGCCCCGCCGACGCCCGCGCCATGCCCATAGGCTGGCCCACAGGACTCAACGGGCTCTCCTCCTCAGAGTTCTGCGCCACAATGGGGATGCGCCCCCGGCCACCCTGCACGATGGGTAGGCTGGTGGGCTTGGCACGCCCTGAGGGTGTCTGGTAGCTGTCTGAGGCAGCCTCTCCGTCCCCCTTGAGCCTCAGCGAGGAACTGGAGGGGTCCCGCTTGATTGAGAGATCCAGGCCATAGACAGAGTTGGGCCTGGAAGAGGGCCGTGAGCGGCTGCCACTGGGGTAGGAGGTCGAGTCCAAGGCCAGGCTCTGGCCGAAGTTGAGCGAGCCGGCCAGGTTGGCGCCCAACGTGGAGCCCAGGTACTTCTGCTGCTCGGCTATGTTCTTGCGTAGTCCAAAGGTGATCTCATCCTGGAGGAGCCGGCTGGATCTAGGAGAGGCGCTAACATTACTGGACCCTAAATAGCTGGCATAGTCTGTCTCCAGACCCCTGCCGTCTTGCATGGAGGAGTACTTGGAGACTTTGGGGTCGGTCAGCGGGGCTTTGTGCTTCTGGTACAGCATGGACGCCGGGAGCTGCTTGGCTGCCTGCTTCTCCAGGGTCAGCCGGCTGATGCTGTATTTCTCCGTCTTGGGGTAGTGTCTTTGGGAGTAGCTCTGGGAGGAGGAGACATCCGAGCTTGGGGTGCTGTAGTAGTTGTGGGAGAGACCCGTCAGCGGGTCCAGGCTTTCTGTTCCCCCTGTGCTCCTCCGGAACTCCTGCTTCAACTGCTGCTTGAGGAGCTTCAGCTCGTAGGGGTCGTCCATGGAGTCCTCGTCGTCTGGGTCTTTCCGTACCCGGAGTGCAGCCTTGAGCTGGAGCCCAGGTATTCGGTGGAGGTCAGGTCGGCTGCACTTCTCCTCAACAGCCTCTCTGCCTTAGCCAGCTCCTTCTCGGCCTGGGCATAGCTGGATGAAGCCAGACTCGTGGAGCTCTTGGCCAGCTCTGCCGCATCTTCTAGGAGGACGTAGCTTCGTGGAGCGTGGTGGTGGTGCTCCACGTCTCCATAGAAGGAGTCGGCCGACACATTGGACATGGGGCTGCCAGCCATACTGCCCCCCACCTCCAGGGCCCGGAGGTCCAAGTGGTTACCGTACTTGTCGTACCTGACCCCTCCCATGTAGGCGGAGGACACTGGGTCGGGCTGCCGGCTGATGACTTCATACTTGGACGACGCGTCCAACTCTTGGAGCAGGGCCGCCTGCCTGGCTGCCTTCTGCTGGAGCAGGAGCATCTGGTGGTAGCTCTGCTGCTGGGAGCTAGACAGGGAGGGGACTGAGGAGTAGATAGACTGAGACTGGTAGGACTGGGGGGACTGGTAGAGGGATTGTTGTTGGTACAGCGTCTGGCTCAGGGGGTACTGGTACTGGGAGTACTTGCCGTACTGGGCCTCGTGTGTGGTCTGTGGTGGCACAAAGTCATCCAGCTCTGACTGGGGTGCCGTCCTGGGGCGCTCCAACCCGTGACCTGCCATCTCTTCATCTTCCCCACTGCCGCGGCCGCTCCGTGTCTCCCGGATATTGCTGACCTCGCTGTCTGACATGTAGTCGCGGTCCTCGGCCACGCTCTGCAGGTAGGCCCGCTCCCTCTTCTCCCGCTCCTTAAGGAGGGCGTCTTTCCTGTGGTTGATGCCCATCTCCAGGTAGCGTAGCTTGGCGTCGATCTCCTTCTCCTCCTCGTCCAGCTCTGCCTGCTTGTGGCGGAGCTTGGATGACTCACGCTCCACCATGTCCAGCTCACGGTCGATATCCTGCAGGATCTTGGCCCTCGCCATGTTGGTGTTGCGGCACATGCGACGGCGGGCCGAGCCAGTGCTGTAGGACGTCTGTCCGGTGGCTGTTGCCTCCTCCTCCGAGGGCGGGTTGGGCAGGGTCCTCTTCACCTTCTTGCCAGTGCCAGTTGGGGTGCTGCCCGACGAGCTTTTGCCCTGGGGGAGAAAACCAAACCAACAAACAAATAGCTTTGCTTCTATATTTAATGATTTATACTCAAACGTCACATTGTGATTTCACACTGAATGGTTACAGCATCTGAATGATGACTTTGTCTAAACCTTTACTACATGGACTAAATTAACCGGAAAGAAGTGTTAAATCTTGCATGATTTCAATTATCTGATTAAATTAATGGATGACTAAAATAGAAGAGGATCTCTATCCCAGTGTCTCTGTGTCCCGATTACAATCAGGCACAGACTAAAATGTGGTGTCCTCAGAGTGAGTGAAAGCTTATTGAGAAACACAGCATATCAATTGCTGGTGAGTTTCACAGGAAGATACTGTAGGTGCTCCTGGCCGTAAATGTTACTCACTACCTTAAGAGCAGCCTCAAAATATGTAATTTATTCACATTAAAGCTCTATGGATCTGTGGCATATCAATATTTTCCTACAAGCTCAGCTTTTTGTCCATCCCTTGTAAGTACAGTATGAGGAGCTCTGTGGTGTATCACTCAGGCAAAAAACGGATGTTAAATACCCCGGGAGAGGGCCAGAGGCAAAATGAGAGGCTTGATTAAGTATGCATAAGGCTTGGCTGGTATACCATATATATCTGGATACCGCCCCAACCCTAGTATGCATAACCTAAGTATATATCGTAACTTAATCATCTTTCATTACATTTTGAGTATGTCTGCAACCGGTCCCATGGAAACAAGTTAAAAACATAATAATGGCTATGAACACACTTCTATACTTGCAGTGTTTATGAAATTCAAATGTTACGTTTTAATACAACTAGTAGTTAATAAACGAATAGCTGGAACCATTGGACTAAATAATTTGCATTACCACAAATATGTCCTGATCTAGTTAGTCTGGTTTGAAAGAAAGAATGTGGGATATCTACCAAGTACGCTACCAGTCCCAAATCACATTGAAGAGGCACTGTGCAATGACTCAATGTCCGAAATATGAAAATTGGAAACTCTTCTAGAAAAAATTCCCTCCAGTCTTGCAGGCTTTGCCTTCAAACTAAAATGCCAATATAAATATATCAGCTTTAGTGCAGCAATGCCTTTGAAAGGGCATTCTATGAGAGGCTCATATGAATTTAGACAGCAAACTCGCCAAATTAATAGCAAGCCGGGGGCTACATTAGATGAGTGTGAGAGAAACAGAACTGAAATAAGACATCATTTTCAGGGCAATAATGGAGTATTGTTATAACAAAAAGTGCAACCTGGAAATGCATTCCAAATCTGGTTTCAAAACAGAACAATATCATGGATTATGCTCTAGTTTGTTTTTCTAATGTCACAGTGTAACATGCTTAGAAAAACTCAAACTCTAGTGGCAACACAAGGCCTTAATATAAAATTACAAAATAAACCCAATTATGTATAAATAATAATATGCAAGTGTTAGCGCCCTTTTGTACCTTTTCTCCTTGGGGTGAGAAAACTGACCTTTTGTATAAAGCCTGCATGCCTAATGGAGAAACTCTATGCCCACTTAAATAGAACATATCACAATTGCAAACAATGATTGAACCAATACTCACGGAGTAACTGTCGCCATACTGGAAACTGGATGATGCCCTCTCCTCTCCAGTTGGACTCATGGGCTTGGGGTCGGACATGGATCTCTGCATGGCCTTAGGTGCCTTGGGGCTGCCGGCTGGAGAGACTTTGGTCGGTTCAGTACTCCCTCTTATTCTCTGTGGGCTTGTATCACCCAGTGATTTCTCATAGGACACAAATTCAAGGGATTTGCTCGGGGATATGCAGGGGGATATGGGGGAGTAGAGGACATTGGGGGATTTGGGCGGTGCCTGAAGGCAGGAGGGGTTAGCTCTGAGGTGGCCAGACTGTTCTATCTCCAAGGGCATGGGCCGTCTCTTGTCTCCCCTATGTGGACTTTCCGAGTCAGAGAGCTCCATCCTGGCATCCATTCTTACGTTCCCTGCAGAGTCTGTCTGTATGGAGATCTCAGAGTGAGCCTGAATGGACATATCGGAGGTCTGTCCGCCTCTGTCCCCCCTGGACGTGCGAGGCCTGCTACGTCTGGCCCGAGCAGGCTCCCACTCCTCCTGGTCCTCATCGTCCGTCTGCACGCAGCTGTCTACGCTCTTCTTGGCTGTGCTTCTCTTCTTCCTCCCCGCCATATAGGCTTTATCGACAACACTGTCCTCGTCGTCCGTCTGACACCCACTATCCATGATTTTCCGGGCCAGCTCGGTGCCGTCCGGCCCCAGGACGACAGCCTCCTGCTGGCCGTGCCCCAGCAACATCTCCCCCGGATACATCTTCCGGAACTTCTGCTCCTCCAGCTGCGCTCGGAGCTGCTCCTGGAGCCTCTGGATCTGCTCTAACTGCTGCTGCTGCTGGGCATAGGTCTCCTTCTGCATCATGAGGTGGGCCTGGCGCTCATCCTCCTGTTGGCACAGGATGGCCTGCTTCATGGACTGCAGCTCCTCCAGCTCCTTCTGCACCAGCATCTGTTCCTGCTCGCGGAAGCGCTGGATCTCCTGACGCTCCCACTCCAGTTCTTCAGCCAACCGCTGCTGCTTGAGCTTCTCCATCTCCAGAATATCACGCTGCATCTGGTACTGGCCCTCCCCGGGCACACAGGGCGAGGACAGGGCCTCCAGTGAGGCGGCAATAGCCTCCAGGGACGCGTCCGTGTACGAGTCCAGTCTTTCCAGGGCCAGGTTGGCCGTTTTGCTGGTGAGGGCCGCGGAGGTGGATATGCCATCTTTGGAGAGCTCCAGGTTGAGGGGGACATCCCCTTGATCGTCTGCGGAGGTGGTAGAGATGAAGCTGTGGGACCGAGTCATGGGCTGGTTCTGGAGAGTGGACAGGGATGGCATGGTGTCGCTGGTGTGCATGCCCGCCAACAGGGAGTTGTAGGTGGTGCTGAATATGGAGCCAGGTTGTGTGGTGATGGCGTAGGTGGATGGGATTGGTGCTGAGACTGAAGAGTACACCACCCCATTGGAGGATCTCAGGACACTGCTCGTGCCAAAGTGTGTCCCAACAGCCCCTGTGACTCTGGTTTGGGAATATGGGGGGATTATCATTTCAGAATATAACCCTGAGCCTTTGGTGGAGAAGTCCAAAGCTACACCTGTTGGGGGAAAAAAATCTATTGAGTCCACAAAAACAGGTAACTTTAGTGGGGAAACCTCATACAGAAAGCCATGCTCCATCCAAAGCCATGCTCAATCCAAAGAAATAAAAAAGCAACATAAAAAATGTAAAAACCTCCAGTCTTGCCAGAACAAACAGCATGCAAGCACAGGCATCTGTGTACCAAAAATGATCATAAAGGTAGAACGAAAAAATAAGGGAAAATAAAATGTCCATGCAAAGCACTTATGAAAAAACAAAAATAAGTGAACTAAACAACAAATAAAAAAACATCATCCATGAATAAGCAGAGGCATCTCAAAGTGACATTTCAGCGAGAGGTCGGCGATGTCACTGCACAAACCTGCATCAGATGTCTTGGAGGATGTCAGGTCTACTGCACCCTCTGTGGTGCCATTGAAATTGTAACTGTTCTTGCTCTTGTAGAGGAAAAGCCCGGCCTCAGACAGATTGGTATCGGACATGGAGGGTTTGATCCCACCGAAGCCCCTCATGCTGTAGGGCGAGCGGTCGTACTGGTAGTGGTCGTCTCGGTAGCCAAAGCGGTCTTCAGGCAATGGAGTAGTGGGCTGTTGGGTGGTGCAGCTACCTGCAAACGGCAGCTTGTAGACAACATCACAGCAGACGGTTCTTCTCCCGGCCGTTAGGTCCACGGGTTTCCCATCCTCCTCTGTGATCACAACCGTGACCACTTCTGTGGAGGAAGTGTCGACCGAAACCACAGTGTTGAAGGGTTTGGCTGTGCTAAGGTCCACCGCACCTGCTACTGTCGGTGCCCCGCTGCTCAGACCATTAGCCACACACCCTGGGGCAGAGGTAGGGGCGATGGTGACAGGTGGCTGGAATGTCCCTAAGCCTGTGCCAGGTCCTACAGAAAGGTTAATGGGGATCTCAGCATTGTTGCTGGTTGCGGGCTGTGCATCTATGGGGCGATAGACGATCTGACAAACAGGCTCAAAGGCTTTGTTTGTGGTTGTAAGCTGAAGGGGCACAGAGGGGACTTGGGATATGTTGGTATTTTCGTAACTTTGTATGGTGGCAGCACATGTAACTATGGTGATGCTGTCAGTCACTATGGAAACACTGGATGACTCAACGCTGAGATTGACCACTGGGGACTGCACTGCGCTTGTCTGACGACCGTTGATGTCTGTGGCCAAGGACTGGCGTCTAACATCTGAGGAAGACAGATCCACCACTTTCATGGCCGATTCTGAATTCACCTTCATGGTACGAAGGTCTACTACCTCCCCCAGCTGGTAGCCCTGTGTACTCTGTGTCTGTTGTGGTTTAGGTTTCTCCAGTGAGATTGGGACACCGTTCGCTCTTGGGGCCGGGGGTGGGGGAGGCGACCTCTCGTGTCGGACAGACACCATGGTTCTTTGGACTTCTGTTGTCACAAACTGAGTGACCTGCCCTAACCTGACCTCTGGGGGTGGAGCGGATGCTGAAATAGCCTCGATGACATGACAGGAGCTTGACACAACTTTCTCTGGCCCACATATCTCCTGACTTTCCATAGACTCAGTGATGCGAGTGAACGCCAGGGGCACCCTATTTGTGTGTGGTGGAGGTGGCTGTGGTTGTTTCTGGGGTTGAGGTTGTGGTTGATACTGTGTTTGAGGTTGAGGTGGAGGTTGGGCATGTCTTGAAGGAGATGCTGGACCAGGACTGGATGGGGCCTGGGTGGTGATCCCTTCCACTGGAGAGCTGGGCTGGGATGGCAGAGTGATAACCACGTAGGTGTCGTATCGATTGCCGTATCGCGGAGAAGTGGGGGATGGGTGACCCGAGGAGTGAACCGAGGAGTGACCCGGAGGAGTGACCCGAGGAGTGACCTGAGAAGTGACCTGGCCTGCTTTCAGCTGAGGGGCTCAGATTCAGGGCTATATCAGCATGGCCTGTGTGGAGGGCGGTGGGTCTTGGATATTGGATGTGGGCAGGAGAGCCAGGCTGAGAGACAGGTTTCGGAGCAAGGGGTGGTTTGACATTTTCCCCTGGCCTGTGGCTGTACCCCATTCCAGCGGGGATGGCTGGCTTTGGAGGAACCGGTGGGGGGACGTGAGGTTGTCTTACCGGCGACCCTTGGGCTGTTGTCATGGCAACAGGTTCTGACCTGATTGTGGCCTGAGGTGGAAGCGGAACAGGGGGTTTCCTGGGGTAAACCGATGGCTTTGGCATGGTGGGAGGGGGCAGTGGAGGGGGTTCAGGAACATCTGCTTTTTCCTGAGACAGAGCCATGTGCAGGACGGCTGGTTTGGGGGGCACTGGTGGGGCGGTTGAGGCTACGCTGGGGACAGTGGTGGTGTACTGAGGGACAGTGGGTAAGGGTGATACACTGGCAACAGCAGGGGCTGAAGGACTTCATACTAGACAGGTCCATGACATCCTGTTGGCTTACGCTCACATGCTGGTCAGCCTGGGAAGTTTCAATGGTCATCTGTGGTTGGTCTGAAGTTGTTGATTGGGGGGACCTCGCAAGCAACTGATTTGGGCTCTGTTTCTGCAACTGTTACGGGTGCCTGATCAGCTTTAGGAATGTCTGATGAAGTCTTTGGCTTATCCTTACTGTTGGTCTCACTGGCCTCTTCATCAGCGTCCTCCTCCCCTGAGGAGAACTGCGTAACCCTCAGGTCTGGTATGGGATGCAGAGCCCTTCTGGATTCAGTGCCTTCCAACTCACCACCAGGGGCCGCCCCAGATATATCAGGACCCTGCTGTGTCGGGCTAGTCCCAGGAGTCAGAACTTTCTTCATGAGTTCCTCATACGCAGCCTCAGCATCGAGCAGTGGTTTCCCATCCTTGCCTATAGTAACTGTAACACATGTGGAGCTGGTTGGCTCAGCAGGGTTGCAATACGATCTCTGGTGTGGGTCTTTCCGACACTGACTGTGCTTTTTTCAGTTCCTGCTCCAGCTGCATGAATTTTTTCTTCTTCTCCATCATGTCTTCATAAACTTCATCTGGAGATCTCAGTGTTTTGGGCTGAGCTGGCACTGAGATTTTCTCAGGCTCCTGCCGCTGGACTTTCTTTCCATTTCCATCAACAAGGGACTCACATGCATAATCTTCAATCAGCATCCCACCATATAGGGACTCTTTCCCCAGAGGGATGTCCACCTTCTCTTTTGTGGGTGTTTTAGCCTTTAGCATGATCTCTTCATAGGCCTCGTCTGCAGTTTTCAGGGCTCGTTTTTCAGGGCTTTTATTAGCACCTTGATCATCTGTTGGAGAGTAGAGAGAAACAGATGTAGGAAGTTGGTAAACTTTCTGTACTGCTGCAATCTTTGCCGCATTTATCTCAACTCCCTCAGGTTCTGACTCGATGCTGGGAGAGAAATCCGATAAGGATGATCGCCTGAACTCCTCCATCTCTGCCTCTTGCCTCAGCTCTTCTGTCGGGGAGGCATCTTCAATGGGAGAGAGGTTGCTGGGCGGTGTTTTGGGACGCTCCCGCCGCCTCTGAGCTCGGATCTCCTCTTTGTCCTTCTTCGACTTCTTCCCAGAGCCTTTCTGCTTCTCCTGTTCTCTTAGCAGCTCCTCCTCCTCTCGTAACTCCTCTTCCTCAGAAGAGTCTTCGATGGTGGGTAGACCTTGGCCTTGTTGTCTATGCTTCGCTTTCCTGTGCTGTTTCCCCTCGCCACTGTGCATGCGGCTGGGACTACTGCTGTCACTGTCCTCATCCAAAGAGGACAGGGATGTAGGCGATGTCCCAGGGGTGAAGCTGGATGCGTGCAGGCTGGAGGACCCATCACCCCTGGAGCGATCGTCAGGGGAGTTGTTGAGGCTTTCCATCTCAAGCTCTCCATCATCTGATGTACCCGGTATGCGCACAGGGGTGCTAGTCGTGTTGAGCTCGATGGTTCTGAATTGGTGGACTGCCACGCCTCTATCCCCTGAAGGCTGTTCCCCTTCCTGAGAGTCTGAAACTTTGGGTTCCGATCCCTCTTTCCATGCCTCGTCAGCTTTATCCAGTGAGAGTTTCCGCTCATCTTCGTCCTCAGGGCTGATGGTGCTCTTCTTGAGGAGCCGCCTGCCTTTTGAAGTTGCGCTTCTCTCCTTCCCCTCCCCTTTCTCCTGCTCCATTCGTTTCCTCTCCTGATCTCGGATCTTTCGCCGGATTAGGTTTTCTTCATCAGACGGCGAAGCGTCCTCGTTCTCACTCATCTCCATGATATGTTTACGAATGAAGTCTTCGTCATCCCCTGACATGGGACTATCTTTCCCTAAGCTCTCACTGCTGTCCTCCAACGAGTCACCCCTGATGTCTGTCGGCACCAGCAGCCTTTTCTTTGCTGAGGCGTCCTTCTTCTCTGAGAGTTCTGGGTCATCCTCTGTGCTGGGAGATTCAGGTGAGAGGGGTAGCACCTCAAGTTTGCGTCTGGCCTTGAGTGAGTCGGTTAGTTTGTCCGAATCGTTCTTTGGTTGTGTAGCCTGGGCCCCTAGTATGGGAAGGACAGTGCTCTCAAGCTTGGCAAGATCTGAGGGGCTGGTGGGACTGCTATGCTTGGCGACTGTGTTTTTTTCTCCAGGCTCTTTCACCGTTGCCTGTAAATGAAAATAATAAAACACAATTATTGTATAATAAATATGTAGATGATAATCATCCAAAATTGATCAAAAACATTACATATGATTGGGAACATTTAAAATGGAGACATGAAGATGTATATACGGAAGACAACTGATATCTGTAGATTATTTTACATAACCAAAAGGTCTGTAGAAACATTTGTGAATAGAGCCCTTCTGACTTGAATCATCTACTTTTCAGCCACTACTGTTGCTACATACTACAGTCACCTCTCCAACTGCATCCACTTCAGCCTCTATTAACTCTGGAATTTCAGGCATTGACTTCTCTTCATTCAGGGGTTTGTCTTCGTCCTGTTCACCAACTACAGGGACTAGGGTGTCAGGTTCTACTACAGGGGCTGGGGCTACAAACACATTTTCAGACACAGTTTCAGATATTTTAGTCTGCTCTGGTGTTGTTTTGTCTTCTACGCTGCCCTCTCTGGCACTCACAGCTTTCACTTCTGATACTGAAATAGGTTTCCTGCTTTTCACTAACTACAGGTGGTGACACAACCACGTTATCTTTCTCTGGCTGAATGCATTCAGACACAGAGTCTGTCTTTGGAGTTTGCTCGGATTCATCTTCTTTGGGTAACTCTTTCTCTTGCACTGCTTTCTCATCACACACAGTAGGAGTTGGCTGCCTACTCTCAGCTATAGACACCTCTTGTTTATTTTCAGCTATGCTGCCAGGCGTTGGAACTTCAGCTTCTTTTCCTTCCTGTGTGGGTTTCTCCTCAGAAATGTTCTCAGGGGCTTGTGGCTCACTAGCAACAGATGATGGTGACGCTGCCTCTACAGCTTGTTCTGCCTGCTCTGCTTTGACCTTTTCATGCTCGTCAGCTTCAGAAGCTGGGGGAGTAGACTCATCCTGGGCTTTTTCAGCCTTATTATCTGCTGTTGGCTCTGGTTCAACCTTTGTATCCACATATGTCTGATTTTCCTCTTTCTGACCTACACGTTCTGCTCCAGCCTCAGTTTCAGTTGTGTTTTTTTCTACTACTGGTGCTGGAGCTTCTACAGCCTCCTGAGGTGGGATCTGATCAACTTTAGCTAATTGTGGTTCAGGTCCTGGGAGCTGTTCAGGGACTTTCTTCTCAACAGGGGATGGTGAAATTGGCTCCTCTGCTTTGACTGCTGGGCTGGGTTCAACGCCTGTTTCTGACTCTGTCCTTTCTGCATCTCTCTCAGGGCTAACATTTACTGGTTCAGCAGCAGGAGGTGCAGGAGAAGCCTCTGGTACTTTCTTTACTACTGCCTCACTTTCTACAGGCTTCTCCTCAACTTGGGCTGGTGGAATTGGCTCTGCTTCCTTCTCTACAGGCTTCTCCTCAACTTGGGCTGGTGGAATTGGCTCTGCCTCCTTCTCTACAGGCTTCTCCTCAACTTGGGCTGGTGGAATTGGCTCTGCCTCCTTCTCTACATGTTTCTCCTCAACTTGGGCTGGCGGAATTGTCTCTGCCTCCTTCTCTAAAGGCTTCTCCTCAACTTGGGCTGGCAGAATTGGATTTGCCTCTCTCTCTACAGGCTTCTTTTCAACTTGGGCTGGCGAAATTGGCTCTGCCTCCTTCTCTACAGGCTTCTCCTCAACTTGGGCTGGCGGAATTGGCTCTGCCTCCTTCTCTACAGGCTTCTCCTCAACTTGGGCTGGCGGAATTGGCTCTGCCTCCTCCTCTACAGGCTTCTCCTCAACTTGGGCTGGCGGAATTGGCTCTGCCTCTTTCTCTACAGGCTTTTCCTCAACTTGGGCTGGCGGAATTGGCTCTGCCTCCTCCTCTACAGGCTTCTCCTCAACTTGGGCTGGCGGAATTGGCTCTGCCTCTTTCTCTACAGGCTTCTCCTCAACTTGGGCTGGCGGAATTGGCTCTGCCTCCTCCTCTACAGGCTTCTCCTCAACTTGGGCTGGCGGAATTGGCTCTGCCTCCTTCTCTACAGGCTTCTCCTCAACTTGGGCTGGCTGAATTGGCTCTGCCTCCTTCTCTACAGGCTTCTCCTCAACTTGGGCTGGCGGAATTGGCTTTGCCTCCTCTACCGGTTTCTCCTCTACTTTATCAGTAACTAGAGGAGGAGATGGGGCTACAGACTCAACTGCCTCAGTTTGTGGAATGGTCTCTACCTCTTTAGGCTGTTCATTCTCAGCAACTACAGGGGGTGTTTCCTCTACCGCAGAGGGCACCTCCTCTTTTTGTGGAGGCACAGGCTCTGGCTCTGGCTCTGCTGGTTTGGGAGATGCAGGAGCCTCTACCGGCTCAATAGAGGCTTCGGGAGCTGGGGCTGAATTCTCTGCAACCTTAGCTGGTGGAGCATGAGCCACCTCTGGCGTTGCCTCTGGTTCCATCTTAGTCTCCACAGCTGAACTCTCTGCTACTGGACCTGTACCTACTGAAGACACCTCAGTTGGAGGCTGCTCAACAGTAGTTGCTTGAGGCTCTGGCTCTTTAGGTTTCTCCTCCTGCTCGGTGACTGCAGGAGGTGTAGGAGCTGGCTCCTCAGCTTTAGGTGGCTGGCTAGGTTCTACCTCAGTCACTACTGCTTTCCCTTCCTCCTCAGTGACTACAGGAGCTGGCGGTTCAGGCTCTGGTGATTGGTCAGGTTGGACAGTAGTTTCCTGTGTGACCGTTTCAGGTGTTGGAATCACCTCTGGCTCTACCGGCTTAGCTTCCTCTTCAAGAACCTTCTCTGGGATGGGCTCCTCTTTCTCACTACCTGCAGAGGGAGCCGGTGAGCTCTCATTTGCTGTAGACTCACTCTGCACTGTATCTGGGCTTGGAGTTGGCTCGGGTGCTGCCTCAATAGGCTTTACTGACACATTCTCTACAGGGGGAGCAATGACTGGCTCCTCTACAACTGCAGGCTGGAAATCTAATTCTGCCTGAGTAGTGTCAGGTGGTGACTGTTCTTCTGTAACTTTCTCTGCAATACTCTCTGGATGATCCACTGCCGGGGCCTCGACAGTACTCTCCACTATACTCTCTGGCACAGGCTCATCCAGTGTAGTCTCAGATATAGCTTCTATCACTTCAGCCTGCTCTGGGTCTTTCTCCACTGCCGGGGCCTTGACAGCACTCTCCACTACACTCTCTGGCACAGGCTCATCCAGTGTAGTCTCAGATATAGCTTCTATCAATTCAGCCTGTTCTGGGTCTTTCTCCTCTGGGACACTATCAGAGGGAGGGGCGGCATGCTCAGGTGGGATGGGTGTGGCATCTGTGTTTGCAGACGCAGCGTCGGGTGTTTGGGGCGGGGTGTGTTCTGGTACTACCTTGGACATGGGAAGCGGCTGGGTGTCTTCCTTTGCTGCTGCTGCCTCTGCCTGAGTGACTGAGGGGCTCCTTGTTAATGGAGAAGCAGCAGCAGCAGCAGCTGGGGAAGCAAGGACTTTGGCAGGGGAGGCAGGAGGGGTAGGGGTAGGTGTGGATAGTTGCTTCTTCACTGGAGATGGTGGAGGGGGCATATCGTCCCAACTGGCCAGAGAGAGCTCTTTGGGTCTGGCAGTTGAGGCATAACCATTCTTTCTGTAAGACAGAAAAACAAAGAAAGTGTTAGTTAGTGTTGACCAAGTAGAAATTGTCACTCACTCTAACGCATAGTTGTCGTGGTGGATGATGAAAATGTTGACTTTAAATGGCAATTACGTTTTATGATCATTGTTAGAAAACTGTACCCACAGTTTCGTAACACTTGGGCTATGCGTAGTCACTGTGACACAGGGCCAATGTAACCTATTCTATTTCAGGCAAGCTTTTTACATTTATGTAACTTAACAGATAGTCCTTTCATAATGCATGGTAATGGTACAGAGGTTTACCAATGCATGTCAGAATGACTCGGGCAGCGGGTACAGACATTCCACAGCAGAGCCAGGGTAAAGCCTGTGTGTATTTGTGTGTGTCTAGCTTACCGGTCTACACAAAACTGGTTTATACAGTGCATAATAGGTAATTAGTCCCGACTGTGAGTGAGGAGGAACTGCGACCCACTCCTGTAACAGTTTATACAGTGCATCCATCAGGATGTAAACATATTATGCCCTATGACTTAATGCCACAAGACCACAACCCCAGACCACTGCTCCCCTTAGTCCCATGTCCTAAATGCAGCATGATGTATATTAGGGATGGGTAACTGGAGGCCCGCAGCCCCCCTTTTGAAGGCCCTTGGATCAATTTCCACAAAAATGTTATTATTATTATTAAACAAAAATTAGGAACTAATTTGGGGTCTCAACTAGAGCTAGAATAGTAGAATACACAATATGCAGTTTCGAAATGGGGTTGTGCATCAGCAGTTTTTCTCTTGTTATGTCAGTCACTGATAGTCAGTCAATTAGCCCATGTCATCAAAACATTTTTAGATTGCTAAGTTAGTTTAGCTGCCAGCTATTCGAATTATCGGCTGGGGGGGCCGCCATTCATTTTGTTAGTCAGTCTCACTCAAATTAGTAGAATTGCATGAAATTAGTTATAAAGTTGCTAAATCTTCTCTCCGCCACATGGCAAAATGTATAGAATTGCATGAAATTAACTCAAAATTGTAAAACATTTCTCTCTGCTGTTTTGCTCGCAATATGGTGGTGGGGGGATGGATATGGTTTCTGGTTTTTTGTAGCCCCCACCCCCATCAAAGTTGCCCATTCCTGATCTATGTATTCCATTCCAACCGCAAGCGAGGCTAGCTCGCACCACAGGTCAGTGGAACACTAATGTTCTGACAAGGGCCTTACAGTGGGATGAACTAAAACATCTTATTTAAGACCAATTCAATCTGTCAGTACACCCAGCTCAAAGGCAGGCAATTAAAAGTGTACGTTCAGTAAACGGTTTATCCTGCGTAGTGCGATGACTTCGGCATTGTTTATTCTTCCCGTCCGCCGCTTGGGACCGAGCCGGCCCTCTATCTCTGAAAATAACAATTAGGCATCAGTTAGAAAGACAACAAACCGCCACGAGTACAGCTGTTCAAATCCTCCGTCTCGGAGGGCCTCTAATTCTGTCCTGTCATGGTTATCTGACTCAAGTCGACAATCACAGCACTAAAGAAGACGTCATTACAGAAGAATCTGGTTTAGGTGTTGTACCCATTAAGACGGTTTAATATTCGATATCTCGACAAGAAATGAGAGAAAGAAACGATGGTAAACATTTGATTCCTAGGGACTTTGGGTCTTACACTGTAGCACACCAGAGAAATGTAAGTAGGTCTAATTATGGAGAGACGTTGTACTGTATGTGTATTGGTAAAATAACACATCCACACACGCACACCATACACGCACGCCATACATCATACACACACACCATACATCCGCACACCATACATCATACACACACACCATACATCCGCACACCATACATACAATTGAAGTCGGAAGTTTACATACACATACAAGTTAAACAATTTAAAGGCAATGCTACCAAATACTAATTGAGTGTATGTAAACTTCTGACCCACTGGGAATGTGATGAAAGAAATAAAAGCTGAAAAAAATAATTCTCTGTACTATTATTCTGACATTTCACATTCTTAAAATAAAGTGGTGATGCTAACTGACCTAAGACAGGGAATTTTTACTAGGATTAAATATCAGGAATTGTGAAAAATTGAGTTTAAATGTATTTGGCTAAGGTGTATGTAAACTTCCGACTTCAACTGTACATATTCTCTCTTTCTCTCTTGGGTCTAGTCTGCATTGGTCTAGCCACCCCTCCAGTCTCCGCTTCAAGTAAACACCCTATTTCCAGCATATCCGTTTTGTGTGGCTCCCCAGGCCAGTGACGTGGGTGTGTGCCCTCCTGTGCCCGGCTTAAATGCGGGGCTTATGCTAAATCCATCCCAGAGCTGGGCCCCACGCGGATGGCGTGGGGCCTGCTAAACCACCCAGCAAACCCAGGGGTAGGCAGGCATCTCCCGGGGAGAGAATCAGACAGGGCAGGGTAAATCAGCCATGAACCACTGTGTCCCTCACACAGAGACGGGCAGGGCTACAGCCATACGGGCAGACACACACACAGGCCACAGAAAGGGAAGGACAGGAGAGCTAGACCTGCCCTGTTTTCAATGGTTGCCTCATAACGTTCTCAATGTTAAATGGTTGGCATAAAGTTTAGAATGGCATTTTGTTATCATATGATTAAAAATGAGCGTGTGTGTAAAAAAAAAAGGAGCGAGGGAGAAGGGGAGAGGAAGGGAGAGAGAGTGAGGAGATAGAGAGCGAGAAAGGGAAGAAACAGAGAGCTGTATGATTTCAACTTAATTATTAATGATTTCATTAATAATATCATAATACACCCCCATAGCCATTCCAACCCTATGTAGAGGTCCCTCTCCCTATAATCCAGGGTGCCGTTCCGCCCCCACAGGGTGCAGCTTGACTGCTCTATCCATTTACATCACAGAGAGCAGCTCGAGAGGCAGAGAGATGGTTCCAGATAGCCACTGATAGGGAATAATGAGAGACAGAGCCAGCCAGCCAGTCAGCCACAAGATATGTCTCTTCGGCTTCTAACCACTTTTACCCTTGTCATCACTGACGTTATCAGAAATCTGCAGCCTACGGTCCCTGAATATCATCCATCTGCCAAAATACAGTCTAAGGACCCTGGATATCATCCATCCACCAGATCACCGCCATAAAAAGCATCCTGTCTCTCTATCTCTGTATTTGTCAAATAGACACGTGCACACCCACACACACCAAAACACACCCTGTCTCTCGCTCTCTCTCACACACACACACACAGTGATCCACACACAGACACAGTGATCCACACACAGACACACTTGAAGTGTCATTAAGAGCCCATTCTGGCCCAGCGCCTCATTAAGATAAGGGACACGATGAGTCATGTCACAGAGTGGTTGTGTGTGTCTGTCTGTGTGTGTCTGTGTTTGTCTGTGTGTGTCTGTGTGTGTCTGTGTGTGCCAATAATTGGGCATCGTAGCCGCAATGGGGGATGTATAATCAGCAGTATTCTCACATTTGTGTGGCTGTGTGGCTATATGGCTGTATGGCTAATTGGCTGTATGGGTTTATGGCTGTATGTGGGATCCTCCCTCTCATATACATCCCTGTGGGCTGTGAATCAGCCATGCTGCTGTTTGCTCAGCACACACATACGGTATAGTAGCCATACAGTGATATTTCCCCCAAACGGAGCTGGGTATAACATACTATAGACAGAAAGATAGTAAAAGGAGCAGCATGACAGTGTGGGAGCCTTTCCTTTCTTTATTAGAACTATACAACCATTATACAACCCTGACTTTACAAAAGAGTTGCTTAAAACGTTCAAGGACACTACAAACTACTAAACTACCTCAAGTCTCAAGACATTAGCATAAAAAGTCGGAGATGATTAAGCAAAATTGGCAAATCTGGTAATCAGATGAGTCTATCCTCCGTGTTGGGTCATTGGTTCCCCCTCTCAGGGGAGGTAAGCGACGCGAAGGTTGGAGCGATATCCTTTGATTACAGAGGAGAATCCTGCATGGGTTTTACCTCCTAAACTTGGTCAGGTCTGGCATGAGAATTACAATGGGTGGAGGAGGGAGGGAGGGAGGGAGGGGGGAGGGGGATATTTGAGGTGACTTCACCCGGTGCAGCTAGCAAATAAGCTAGTCAGTATTAGTGTTTTTTATACTATTTTAATTGGGAGGCTTCTGATATGAAATAATTTACCCCATAAATACGGATATAAATGTAGTGATTTAACCTGCTTTTAAATGGGCCAAACCCGGTCTCTGGTGATGGAACCATCACACTTTAACCAACTAGGCCATCAAAATCATTTTGTTCAACTGTGCACCATGCTCTCATAGAAACTACACTGCCATTTCTCTGATTAGGTTGTCTTGATAGAAGGTTAAATCCTTAGAAACCTGCCCAGTGTTGAGAGCATATTGTTTGACGTACTGTACAGTAGACCAACATAGCTACAGTACTGTAGCAGGTGTCAACGCTGTGTGGGCTAGAAAGCCTTGTTAGTGCGTAGGTCAAGTAAGAAGTTGAGGTGTTCATTAGAATTCTCTCTAATCTGCTATTGACAACTTTACTTCAGAGTTTCCTGTCATCCAACACAGAATGTCCAATAAAATATTCACAACATGGATTCAACCATCCAGCATTACATTCCAAACTGTTCTACTAACCATACAAACACATCCCAAATAAAAACACAACAAATACTCTCTGACACCAACAAATGTGTACCTCAGTATTATCTTTTCCTAGTGATTGACGGGAGTAAAGAGGTGCTGTGGTGTCCCAGGTGGATTGGGTTTGTTTCCCAGGAGGTTGGGGTGTGTCTTAAGCTAAACTGACAGGGGAGGTGAGAGACAGCACTAGAACTTAGTAAAGGAGGAGAAAGGAAAACCCAGGAACATTTGGTAGGTGGCTGTGTCCGTCTGTCTGTCTGAAAAAGTTATTCCGTTTTGCCATCCGTCTACTGAACTGTGAACTTTGTGTTATTTTGTGTGTATCAGCTTTTTGCTTCATCATCTCTTACACAGTGCATTA